TATTATTTATTATGTATCAAAACTCTGTTGTTGTTTGTTTTGCTTTTTATTGAAAAGTTTTTAAAAAATTTCATAATAATAATATATATCCCAGAAGTTTTTTACAATTTTAAATTTTTCTTACCTTTGCATTCTTAAAAAAATGTATGTTTTGAATGTTTATTAATTTAGCTTGATACATTAAAATAACTATTACAAAAATAATTTTTAGCTTTTAAAAAATTGTACTTTGGATTCCTTTTCATTTAAAAAAAAATATGTTTCCCTTAAAACATGTAGAGATTAATTACCCCTTTTGATTGCCAGGTGGGTCAGATTGATTGATCTATTTTTCTATCTAAAAATAACTGCTTTTTTTGTGCTAAAATGTGCTAATTGATGATATTTTAATATTAATATTTCTTAGTAATTTCAACTGAAACTACACAAAAAAATAATACTAAATATATATTGACTATTTAGCACAATGTGTGCACACTAAAACAATTAAATTTTAATGACTGTAAATCAAAAACCTTTATCAGAAACTTAATTCTCTCATTAGATGCAAGAATGTCTTGCCTATCTGGCACTTCAAATTATAATGCTTACAGTTTCTTCTCCAATCTAAATGCTTTTTTCTAAGCTTTACTTATTTATCTTTCTACTTATTATAACTTAAAGCTATTATCTTTTCAGATGGTCTGTATAAATTTTATATTTGGCTTTTCATTCATTTTACTTCTTATATAACTTTTATTAGGTTTATTTAAGATATTTAAACATATCTTTGAAAAAGTAGTTATTACTTTGTTATTAATGGTAAAAAAGAATTTTTTAGCAGCAGTAAAAACAACCAGCAAATTTTCCATTGAAAACTACATTTTTTTTAATAACATATCTATTTTTCTATGAATTCTATATAAAAATTGTTAAATTTAGTTTTAGATCTACTGTGTAAATACAAAGAATATACTTTTTAAAATCAATTTCTTAAATTTAATTTATTTAAAAATATAGTTTTAAATATATTTTACTGCTTGCATTTTCTTCAAATTGTTTTATTATAGACATGTCATGAGGTTATGAATTATTTGAGACAGTGTTGGTTATGGTATTATGTGATTATACTTTTAAAAGTATAACTAAATATTTGAGAAACAATAAGTTTAATACAGTGGTACTGCAAATTGTTTATATCTCAAAACAAGTTTTTTCCATTGAAATCATATAAAATTCCATTAATCCGTTCCAGCCCCCAAATTACTACCCAAGTTCTTTTTTTTTTAAATAATGATACAAGAAATCTGGATTTATAAATAACAAATTTTAATTAAAAACATGATAAGAAAGAGAATTTAAAAAAAAATAAAGTGGTATTAGAAAGTGTATATTCTTTGGAATTTGGCTAACTTGAGCTTACTAGAGATGTTGGTGGAGGTGTAAAATAGAGAGGCTTTACTTAGTTCAATTGCTATACTATTGATGCTAAACTCTTTCGGTTACTTGAATTGAAGAGAGGTTTCTAGTATTTTTAAAATTATAAATGGGTTGTTGCTCGATTGCAGTCTTGTACAACTTTGAAACTTATAGAAATTTCAAACAATATGTAGCAACAAATAAATCACTTTGCATTGGTTTTAGTAAAGAAAAAAAGGTTTCCATAAAAATAAGAATTTGCATCATTTGCAAATAGCTTTAAAGAATAAAAAGAGTAAGATCACTTAAAACACACTTCTATTTATTACAAGCAATCTGATTCTTGTAACCTACATTGTAAATGCACTAACTATATGAGGGTTTATATTTTTCTCAGTGCTATGTATTTTGTTTTTTTATCAACTAAATTCTGTATATTATTGTGTTCTTTTGTTAGTATTATAACAAAAATTAAATGTTTTCTTGTATTATTTTAATGTTAAACTTAAATATCTGAGCAGCATTAATTATGACATAAATATGACTAGCTTTATGTACATTAAAAATGTAATGCGACATTTATTTTTAATCAAAATTATAAACTAAGCATTAACTCTTTTAAATTTCAAAGTGATGAATTTGTTTATAGTTTATATTTTCATGGAGTAAAAATGTCCTTATCTTTCACACAATTACTTTTACCCTCAGAGTTTTGTAAAACTTTTTTTTTTAATTTGATGTTGACAAAAAAAAATTTCCTTCTAATGAGTGAAGAAAGATTGAATGATGATAGCCAATATATACAAATAGTTTTAATATATTGATGTATTTTTTTTACATAGAATAAACATAGAGGTGATGGCAAATGTATAAATTACAAATTTTCAATGACTTTTTACATAAAATTCTTCTCTTTGATATATAACAAAGATCTATATTTAAAATATATTTCCAAATATACTTCAATGAAATGACCTGTTTATAGATCTAGGTTTGTTTTGGATTAATGGTTTTAATTACTGCATGTATAGCAGTTAAATGTTTTTAGCATAATATTTTAATAATGGTAAAATTCTAATAAGAGTAAAATTTTGAAAAGTATGAAAGCATTAGTCAATAAAACACTTAAGCCTATTATCAATTGAAATTACATTAAACTTTCATTGTAAAATTGTACACAACTATGTTTGTTCTTGTCTTTATTCACAAAAAAAAGTTCCATAATATTATTTAATCTATTTAGGGGGGGGGGGGGGCTAATATATATTATTTATTATATTAGTTATTTTGGTAATCTATCGTTTTAAGTACATAAAAAGGGTGGCCCTTTTTTTAGTTCCACCACTGGACTCAACCTCTAGCCTATATTGATATATTTTAGATTTTCTTTCAAATTTAATTTAAATAAGTCTGATACTTATCATACACAATTACGGACCATATCCTTTACCGGTCAATTTAAGACCAAATTTAATTGTTTAGCTTACTCAGAGGAAGAGAAAACAAAAAAAATTTACATCATTCACGCCTAAAATGCAAAACTCTTTTTTTGACAATTAACAAAGCCAAAAATTTAAGTTCCTTGATATTCTCTATATGGCAATTACCACAACATTGGTTATTTTACTTACCAAATTAAAAAAAAAAACCATCTTGTTTTTAATAAAACTTTATATTTATTATGTTTATTAAGGAAATATTAGTCATATTTAGGGCCTACTATAAATTGTACATATAATTTAATACATTACATAACTATAACATCACTCCGATTTGTTGTATATTGAACTGGAGAGGACATCAAGTTTAACAAATTATTATTTTAAGATAGTATCTCTGTCTCTTGCTATGACAAACATACAGGTCTCTCGCTGAATGTGAACACAAGACACATCACTAGGATATGATATATAACAAAAGAGAGGGAAGAATAACCAACAAGACTTCATCAAATATTTCTTCCCCCCCTCCCCACCTTTTATACAGGCGTATACAGGTTTTTCGGGTTAGGGAGAGCAGCAAGGCGAGAAAAATGGTGCCATATATATATATATATATATATATATATATTTATTTATTTATTTATTTATTTGTTTGTTTGTTTATATATATATAAATATATAAATATATAAATATATTCAAAAGTTCAATAGCATTCCGTATCTTGTTATCCTAGTGTAGGTTGTGTTAATTAGTTATTTTATCAAGAATTAGTTGTAGTCAGAGGTGTGTGTGTTTTTCATGAAATTGTTAGTTGGGTTTTCCACATTATTATTGTATATTTTCTTCATTGTAATTTATTAGTTAAACTTGATACATTTGATAAGGTTTTGGTACTGATTACAGTTCTATTAGATTTAGGAATTCTTTTTATTTTTAATTTTACCACAGACGTTAGATAGCGAGTTTATAAAGAGTTTTTGTTTCTAGCAGTCTTTTATGGTATTTTATCTAGTTAATCAGTCCAGAAACCAACGCCAAAAGAATCCGGGTGTTACGTAAGATAAATCAGTAGTAGAAGTAAGTAACAATTACAATACTTCCTCTATATTCTTTATACGAGAAACTAAAAACAATTATTTTGTTCTTTAAAGTGCATAATTATCATTGAAACTTTTTTTCTAAACTTATGTAATTATCCTCTATATTAACACAGAAACAAAAACATGTATTAAAATGTTTATTGCAATAAAATATTCAGCTTGTTATTTTTTTACTACCTGAATGTACACATAATTATACTGCATCACTTTAGATAACTTCGGCTTATAATATTTTATAATATTTTGCTTTATTTTATGCTCGTTCAGAGCCACATTCTCCTTGACTTCTGTCGATCTTAATCATTGAAAACACTTGCGATGACCGCTACAGCTACCACAATACTCCATGACTTTCCTGATAAATAAATAGAAAGCACATATAAACTATTTTTAAATCATGCACTTTTCGGAATCGAATTTGATTGAGTTTAGTGGAGAAAATAAATGTAGAGCCTCTACGAAAGTTAACTGACAGATTTTTCTTTGCGTAGCAGCTGTTATGAAACTTTTTTTTTTAATTGTGCAAACTACATCAATAAACTTCTCTTTTAATTGAGGTATTGTTGCATTGCCAATCGTTTACAAATATTATAAATAAATAAGAAGTATATCTTCGTAGGAAACAAAATATTTAAAACCTTTTAACGTAGCTTTTACTTGTCCGTTTGTAGAATAGCTGATACCTAGAGCTATATCTCCACTTAAGCTATAGCATTTCATTTGTGCATTTTTGGGAGTTATTTCGTTTATAAGGACCATTCCACTTACTGGGTCGTACCCTGCGTAAATAAAAGAAACTGTTTATTTAGTATGGTACATACTAAGATAGTATATCTTGATGAAAATTTATTATACGTAATATATATATATATATATATATATATATATATATATATATATATATATATATATATATATATACATATATGTGTGTGTGTGTGTGTGTGTGTGTGTGTGTGTGTGTGTGTGTGTGTGTGTGTGTGTGTGTGTGTGTGTGTGTGTGTGTGTGTGTGTGTGTGTGTGTGTGTATGTGTGTGTGTGTATCTCCTAATGTTTCCTGACGCTCAGGACTTTTTGTTTATAATTGAAAATCTTGTATTTATCGGATAGTTAAAATTAAAGGGTTACATGTGTTCTTTCCCCCACATCCCTTCTAAAAAAACCTAACTACATCCGAAACAAAAAATATAGGTGCGGTTGCTTTTGGGTGTATGTGCTAATTTTTAATGTGCAATAGTTTAAAATATGGTTACACCTTTTGCGATAGAAACGAATATTACCTAATCCACAGCTGCGAAAATATCCTTCCTCTTGATATGTTTTCCAGATGAGTAAACCCTTCCGACCTATATCTTTAACTTGAATGCAGAATCCAGACTCAAATACGAGTAAAACACAGAAGTTCAGCAAAAGCATCTTCTGCCTGATGAGTCAAAATATTGAAATTTAAAAAAAAAAGCTTTATATTAAACATGTCTTAATTATAATTACTTTAGTGTGAAATTTGTTTGTTTTTTTGTCATTGCTTTTTAATATTTATTTTTTTATTACGAATTAATACTTTTATATTGTTCCACGTGTTGTTGCAAGGCTTACATAATAATGTGTATCCAATCATAATGTGAGACACAAACTAAGGGCTGCCTATTAAAACTAAGAAAATAAATCACTTAAACTTGTCAAAGATAATCCTAGACGACTCAGAATTTGAAAAAAAATAACTACCTGGCTAAATTAGGCGTCAATTTCGACATTTGACTTTTTTAAAAAAGAAACTTAAAATGGTTAAAGTAAAATAATCAAACGACGCGCAATAATAAGAAAACTATCAGTCACAGTAAGGAAATATGAAAAATCTTACACGCCTACTCCATATTCCCCCATTATGAGCTCTCAATCTTTATTTTTTCTTCCCACTTCGGCATTAATGTGTCCCACTGCTTTTTTTATATATATCCTTTTTAGGTGAGTTTTTAGCGCAATTTCCATTCTGGAGAATTGCGTTTATTAACTCGTCTTTTCTGGGAATGGATGTGTGTCCGCAGCTTTAAATCGTATCTCCTCATCAACGAAGCAATATCGAGGACTAGTTACAAAGCAAATATGTTAAGCAAGTTACCAGGATGAACATAGGCCAAAAAAATTCCGGGTTTCTTTCATGGATTTCCCGGAAAAGCTAAAAAACCTTGAAAAAAATTCAGTTTTTTGCCAATATCTCGGCAACCAGACTACTTAGCGACTTGAAACATGTACCAATCGATTCCTGCCATAATTTAGAACAATATTGCCGAAGAAAGTTTTCAAAAATATCCTTTCGTTCGGTCACAAAAAAATTTTTGAATTAATTAAAATTTGGACCGAATTAGTAGGCATTTTATCCAACCACACCACACGCGTCATCACGTTCAATAGCTGCGCCATCACGTTCAGTGGCTGCGACATCACGTTCGGTAGCTAGGCGCGCAATGGGTTTTAGTCATGTTACTCTATTTTAAATAAAACATGTAAAATACTGAAAACAAAATTAATAAAAAATTTCATAAAAAACGTTTTAATAACAAGCTTTTATGTAATGATGCACTAAAAAGTAGAAAATAAATTATAGACTACTATTTAAATAACTATAAAGAAAAGCGTGGGTCACTTTAGTATCTATTGGATACCTTTACTAATGTTAAGGAAGACACCCACGCTTTTCTTTATAGTTATTTAAATAGTAGTCTATAATTTATTTTCTACTTTTTAGTGCATCATTACATAAAAGCTTGTTATTAAAACGTTTTTTATGAAATTTTTTTTAGTACTTTACATGTTTTATTTACAATAGAGTTACATGACTAAAAACCATTGCGCGCCTACTGAACATCACGTTCAGTAGGCGCGCAATGGTTTTTGAACGCAGCCATTACGTGATGGCGCAGCTATTGAAGGTGATGACTCGTGTGGTGTGGTTGGCTAGACATGCCTACTAATTCGGTCCAAATTTTAATTAATTCATAAAAAATTAATTAGGCATCCAATTAAGTCAAATTTAGTTTCAGATTGCATTGTCTTCATGTCTTGACCCACGTGCTAACTTTGAATCGTATCGGTCAAGTAGAACTGTCCGAATTTTCACTCCTGCGTTTCCGTCTAGACAGACAGACTGACGAGGAAGTGAGTTAAATAAAAGCTTGTAAAAACGTTTTAATAACTAACCAATGGTTTTACTAACCCTGCTCTTGATTTACGCTACGACAGAGCTATTTTTAGATAACATAAGGAAATTGCGCTAAAATTGTCACTAGACTTTTTTTAATTACTTGTTTTCAATTAAAACCTAAAAGCGCTGTAGAATTCCTCTTTCCCCTTCCTTTGTTGCAGCTTTCGGGAATTCATAGCACTGAATTAAAGTTATTTCCCTTCCCATGGCAATAAAACAGGTTAGTATGAATGCTGATCTGCTACTTTCATGTAGGGTTCAGATGTACCAGGCCCCTAATCTGGTTTTAGTCTACGGTATTAGATTTATCAGCAGGCTAGTTTCCTTGAGGCCTTCACTAGTATTCGTAATGCGCTCTTCTAAAAAGGACCCTTGACCAAGTCGATATTGGGATTATGTGTGTGTGTGTGTGTGTGCAATTTCTGTAGCGGGTTCTGTTTTTACGAAATAGGTTGCTAGTCTTATACTCAACCCCAACCTGAAGAACCAATAAAAAGTCAAAATACGTACCGGCACGTTGTATTCGGAGTATTGTCCATACACTCTTCAATTCCGCCACAACCCCCTGAAACAAGATTTACTGCGTATTTACATATTTAAACACTTTCTTAAAAACAAAAATTTTGTAACTATATTCATAACAAACAAGATAATACGATTTTACATTTCAAAATCGAATCGGCCTTTAATTCTCTTAATGAAATGTTTTTATAATAGTATACAATATTTTTAAGACGGAAATTTGTAAAGGTAAAAATTTAAGTTTATTTTGTATAATAATTCACTAATTATATATATATATATATATATATATATATATATATATATATATATATATATATATATATATAAGAAATATCTAAAATTTTAGCAACAGTATTCCATCTCAAGTATTTTAGTCTCTCGCTTATATAAAGTTTTTGTAATATTTGTACAAATAATCTTAGGGTTGTTTCCATTTTAAATCGTCAATAAAATTCAATACTCAACGTATAGCTTTTAAAAAATTATAAAACATTTAAACCTTAACACTTTCTGTTATAATTATGAGCCACATATGAGAGAATAAGAAACGGAAAAAAAAAAAAACATTATGTTACTGATCATTCGCTATGTCCTTAGTAACGTTATAAATATGTCGTTAAGCTACATACCTAACTAATACGATTAATACAAATTCATACAACAAAATAGTTAGCTATATTTATTAAATACAAATATAAATACGTACAGATGTTTGTTTTCTTTGGAATATATAAAGCATAGCAGGGTACGAGATCTGACCGGCTTTGATCAAATGAAAAACCAGTTTCAGAGCTTGGGTCCAAATCTGGGAAGCCACACGAAGTTCATTTAAAATTTATGAGCATACTTATTCAAATAAAACAAATATTTGTAAAAATATATGAAAAAGTGTATCATCAGACAATAAATCACACGAAAACTTGCTCTAACTAATTTCCTGCCGAGATAATATCATCGTTTAAAATCGTTTAAATCTCATGTGTACCTTTAAAGTAGTAGTAAAGTTTCCCTTTCAAACCTGACGGTCTATGGGGCAAGTGAAGTAGAGTTCACTTGTTTCTGTGACCTCGGCATATGAAGAGATAGGGTGGTCAGCACTATACCCAGCCGCCTTTACTTTCCCTAACGTGAGTTTGGAACCCATCAGAGTTGGGTGGACTCAGGGACGGTCTACTAACTCGAACTTGAGAATTACGGGTTAGCAGTCCAGCTCTCTGCCGCTAGACCACTCCGTCTTCCCATTTATAGCTTTTTTTAAAAATACATTTATTTTCAATTTCTCACTTATACCCGTCTAAAATTATTTAAAATGTAATGTCTGTCAAGCCGGTCAAATATATTTATACACGGAGGTTTGAAATATGTTGTGGTTTCCCGTGTTTGTTTATTCTCGAATTTTCTGCATTAATATTAAAAATTTTGAAACACATTTCTTTGTATACCTGTTTCATTCAAAACTATAAAAAAAAATTCATAAAAAACGTTTTAATAACAAGCTTTTATGTAATAATGCACTAAAAAGTAGAAAATAAATTATAGACTACTATTTAAATAACTATAAAGAAAAGCGTGGGTCACTTTAGTATCTATTGGATACCTTTACTAATGTTAAGGAAGACACCCACGCTTTTCTTTATAGTTATTTAAATAGTAGTCTATAATTTATTTTCTACCTTTTAGTGCATTATTACATAAAAGCTTGTTATTAAAACGTTTTTTATGAATTTTTTTTCAGTACTTTACATGTTTTATTTACAATAGAGTTACATGACTAAAAACCATTGCGCGCCTACTGAACGTGATAACGCAGCTATTGAACGTACCGTGATGGCGAAGCTATTGAACGTGATGACGCGTGTGGTGTGGTTGGCTAAATTTTAATTAATTCATAAAAAATTAATTAGGCAACCAATTAAGTCAAATTTAGTTTCAGATTGCATTGTCTTCATGTCTTGACCCACGTGCCAAGTGTGAATCGTATCGGTCAAGTAGAAGTTTCCGAATTTTCACTCCTGCGTTTCGGTCTAGACAGACTTACGACTGACGACTGACGAGGAAGTGAGTTAAATAAAAGCTTGTAAAAATGAGCTTTTTTGGCACCTTATTTGGCTATTTAAATAGGGGCTATAAGTCATGGAAGAAGTTTGAAGGTTTGCCATCTAACACTACAGATCTTGTAGAGTTAGTAACTGTAGAAAAATTACTGCAGTACTAGATCTTTAAAAAAAACATTAGTCTATCAAAGTGGAAGAGGGGTCCACTTCATTTACCACTGTCCGGTTATTTTAGGTCTATTACCTTACCCAGCGTATACCTAGGTGTGATAATAATGTCGCTATACACAATTACGTCATGTCTCATGCTGGTGGTCAGGTGGGGGGGGGGATAACCAACTCAAAGTAAAAAAAAGTGTCAGTTTTAGATGGCTGTTCTAAACATGCATATACAATTATACAAGTATATTCTAATTCAGAAATAGATTTAAATACGTTACAGTGGTATTATGATATTTTTTACAGAGAGGTCAATACAAGAGGGGGAGGGAGGTTATAACCCTCCCTAATCCCCACCCCCCCCCCCCTGCCTGCGCCACATTGTAACATATTTTTCTTCCTCTACTAGTGTGTTATTTTAATAGGTTTTTTGGCTGGATGTATTTTTCTTCATAACTTTAGTTTGGTTATATTTACTTTAAGTCCAACTAATTTCCAAAATAAATAAGTCTATTTAGATTTAACTGCATGTTTTTTTTACTACTGCAAATAGAGTTATGTCGTCTGCGAAATCCAGGTATTTTTGACTACTTGTTAGTGTCTACCTAATGCCTCTTTAATGTACTTAATGTTTATTTTAAAACAAAATTGCTATTATTTTTATTTCTTCTTTTTATTTATTAGGAATTTTATAAATTCCATAAAACATTCGATATTTGTTTTAATTAGAATAAGTAGGCCTACTTTTTTGCATTATGTTCGTTCTTACTGAAGTATAAACTACATACAATTAAAATATTTTGCTATTAAACCTGATCAGTAGCATGCGATCTCCAAAGTACAATCATCTGACCATTTTTCAACCGTGGTCTGCTCTATGGATCCAGTACCCCTGACCATCAGCTCACCTTGGTGATCTAGCGGATCGAGTGATCGCTATTATTTAAGGGGATATGCTGATTAAGAAAAATCACCGAAATCCTGATTTTTCTTCATAGTAAGTTTCTAGTTTGTTTGTTGTTTGTTTTTGTTTTTGTCCATTTTTGTATTAAAAAATAATAAATTAGAAAAAAATATTGTGTATGTGTTTAAAATAACATTTTTATGACGCTATTTGTTAACAAATAATATTTTTTTCCCAATTTTAAAAGCTCTCTAAGAAAATTTTATATCCGTCATCATATTGTATTTGGCATCATTGGAAAGCTAGATTTCTCGTGTATTAAACAGATATGGTATTTTCGTGACCTACTTTTTACTACTTTTTGCTGTTTTTCTCAGTTCGCAGTTTTTTAACACTAAAAGCCTAATACGTTTTTATTTATTAAATAATGGCCACCATATTTTCAGTAATTGTTCCTCCTGAAAAAATAAAAATTTGTCACGAGTAAATTTTGAAACTTTTGAATACTAAAATGGGTACTATTTTTCAGACCTTGTAAAATTCTGATCAGCAGCTCTTTCAAAACGTTGTCATGCCTAAAGTTTTTATATATACTGAAATATATGCTGTTTTAATTTGATTGCTATAAGTGCATGCATAAAATAAGCCTTAGCGTTTCTAAAAGTACAGAAAAAATCAAAATGGCGGTGGTATTTCTTTCGGGATTTCGTTAAAACCAAAATGATTTTCAACCTTTTCTTGCTGTTTAATACTTATTTTCATGTGCCAAACATTATAAATGTATTCAAAAGGCTTAAGATCTTAAACTGTAAAAAAAATACAAATCAATTGAGCATATCCCTTTAATCTTATTAACCCAGGTTTTATTTTTGAACGTAGTAGTTATGTTATTGATAGTTAGAAATTTTTAAAAATTAAAAATGGGACATTCTTGCGTTTTTGTTGGAGATGAATAAATGCAAAAAAAAGTTTGAACGACGTCGCTAATTTAGGTGTGGGGTCAAAATTGAGAGACAAGATTTGGCAGAAACCCAACGATGTTGCGAAATAAATTAAAAAGCTTGTAATACAAATGCATCACATCTATATTTATATACGTATGTAAAGCTATATGTTTGTAATACACATTTAGAATGTCTTTCATTTGAATCTCCTAAAGATACATAATTTTTCAAGCATAAATTCTTTATTAACCATATATTCTTTATGAACTGCGGTAAATAATTCGACAACTTACAATACAATGCAACATAACATAATCCAACACAATCTGATATAATAACCTTAAGATACAAAAACTTAACTGTATCCACAGCGTTTAAACTCTCCAGATTGATTGAATGCATCCAAAAGTTTTTGTGCATATCTTTTATCTCCTTGCCAGCAATGATTGCTGTGTACAATTTTATATGCACAGATGGCGTAATCAAAGCTTTCACTGTAGAAGTATATATATATATATATATATATATATATATATATATATATAGATAGATAGATAGATAGATAGATAGATAGATAGATAGATAGATAGATAGATAGATAGATAGATAGATAGATAGATAGATAGATAGATAGATAGATAGATAGATAGATAGATAGATAGATAGATAGATAGATAGATAGATAGATAGATAGATAGATAGATAGATAGATAGATAGATAGATAGATAGATAGATAGATAGATAGATAGATAGATAGATAGATAGATAGATAGATAGATAGATAGATAGATAGATAGATAGATAGATAGATAGATAGATAGATAGATATATATATAGGCATATATATATATATATATATATATATATATATATATATATATATATATATATATATATATATATATATATATAAAGCAAAGTGGTCAGGTGCCCTATAGGGCACTTCCCGGAGCCGCAGGCACGTCAGGATGGTGCCTTGGGGCGATAGAACATGAGGGCCTGCGACGGTTGGTCGAAAAGTCCACGGAGAGAGGGTCAAAACTGACCTTGACTGACCGGCGCCTTATATGGGCTATATTACGAAAAAAACTTTTGCGAAACGACCCCCCTTGACATTTTGTGAGGCGGTAGGAGATCGCCTAGAGATGTCAGAAAAAACTCGGCATATCTGGGAAAACTTCGTAAAGGGGTCAAAACTGACCAGTTGTATTTCATTATATAATCTTTGTATTTTATGGGAAAAACAGAGGGTTATTTCAACAAAGAGTTCAGGACACTTACCGTTTGTACATCTAGCTAATTTTGGCATGCACCTAGGTAAATGGATTGGCCTTTTAGGAAAACTGTCAGTTTGATCCGAAGCCCTCGACGAGGGCTAAAACATGACCGTGAGTGAAAATCCCCTTATTTGAGCCATAAAAACTTTAGGGAGTTGATGAATACTCCCGAGAAGGTTTCTGGGGTTGGAAGGTGGTGGGGGGGGGGGGGAAGAGTGGTGGTGGGAGGGGGGATTTAATTTTGCATGGGCGGCCACCCGGGTGGATGCGATTTGGCACCCTGGCCTTTCCCATGAGCGCTATGGCGACTACGTTTGGTCTAAACAGTGTGATAGACAATGGATAGGATGGGCCATTACAAAAGCTCACTAAAATGAATCAGGCGTGTCCGCCGGCACCCTGGTAGGATGCGATTTGGCTGCAAAAAAAATTCAATTGCCATCCCCAAAGGCTAAGTTGGGTCGCTGAAGGCCATGTAATACGTTTTATTTTAATAATCATAAAAAATTAACCAAGGTTAGATTATTAACTGGGATGTTTCTTTTTGTCCGTAAAAAATCCAAACAGTTTCGTCACTTTGCGAATGATGAAATTAGCATCTATTTTTAGACAATACAATCAGAAATTGAGATCGAGCTTCTAATAATCGACTATTAGTAACGCTAACATATTGCATCAGTCACACTGATGTTTAAAACACGTCAAATAAATTTTTTACGTGCTAAATAAAAAATTCCTGTTCATTTGTGTCACTTTAGTGAATGATGCAATCTCGCATCATTGTTAACAGGATACTATTTGGCACGATGGCGCCAGTTAGTTTTAAGGAGCCAGGGGCCGTACGTGGCGCCTATGCGATAGTGTAATCGAGGGGGTGCTCCTGACACATGGATGGTCACCGAAGTGTGTTCTACCTGATTATTTCGTTGAGTGATTAATGTACATATTACGTTTTCACGCTGTAGTGTAGATAAACCCGTGTCCCGGTGTTTATGATCCAAGCGCAGGCATTGTTTACATTTAAATAACTAATTTTAGAAAACAAGGTTACGCGTCTAAGAATATAGGATTGGTAACGTATGGACGAAACCCTTCTTCTATCCCCGCGGCAACGCGCGAGGACGGGTATATATATATATATATATATATATATATATATATATATATATATATATATATATATATAATTTACACTAACTAGTTCATAAAAATTCTCATAGCATGGATTTTAAAATGTGCTTACAAGCAGAGCATTTTTGACAAATGTCCTTCTGGGAGACATATGGTACGGCAGTATTCATCTGCTGTATTCAGAGCTGCAATATACATAGACATTTATTCTATGAAAATTTTCAATAATGGAGCCACAATATATAACGTCAGATATTTATAATTGGAAAGTATTCAATAATGGAGCTTCAATATAGAACGTCAGATATTTGTGGTATAAAAAATATTCAAGAATGGAGCTACAAAAATTAGCGTCCGACATTTGTGGTATGAAATATTCAAGAACTGAATTGGAAAATGTTTTAAACTCAAACATTTAAACGCCGCATTTATTTGTGTTGGATGTGTTTAAAAAAGAGATAATAAGTTCGATCTAGTAATGTCATATGTTTCTAGATTTGAATAACACTAGAACATCCACTTTACAATTTATAGAACGTCACGTTGCTGCAAAATGCCACCCCCCCCCCCCCTACACACACATATATACGTCCCTTCCTCTGTCCCCTACCTTTTATTTGTTTCAAAGGATTGAGGCTAGCTTTATAAATAACAAAAAGCGTGGCAATTTAACTTATTACCTACTTCATATTGCTAAATATCGTACATATATATATATTATATATATATATATATATATATATATATATATATATATATATATATATATATATATATATATATATATATATATATATATATATATATCTAATATATAAAGCTCAATTCTGTAACGCATATGTTTGTTTGTCGCTGGTTATCCATGGATTTAAGTGTTAGAAAATTATCGTGCGCATTTGTCTAAATTTATGAGTTAAAAAATTACTATTGAAAGTGTTGGGAAATCATTTTCATTTTTCAAATTATAGTAATAATTGTCGGCATGTTCATTAAACACAAGTTTTAAAAAAATATCATCTTTTACAAAAATTCTAATTATGTTTTTATTTAGTCCTATAGCGCTTACTTCCCTTTGATAAATTAGGCAAAACACAATTACTTCCCTTTATGAAACCATTGCATTAGTTGAAAAGCATTTACTTTTTAATTACTTTGTTTTGGTGTTGGGAAAAAAATAATTACATAATTAGCGGGGATTGATCAAGTGCAAATGTTTTAGGTATTTTACGGATAAGCTTGGAGTATTATAATTGTTCATTAAATTGAAACAGGCGCGTTCGTTTAAGTGAGTGCAAAAACTATGAATAAGTTGGGGTACTATAGTCGTTTATTAAGCTAAAACAGGCGATTCTGCCCCGGGCGTTTATGTTCGCGTTAGTGTTTTCTTTGTGTTTAGGTGGGTTTGCGTTAGTGTTTGCGTTTTGATTTGGTTCGTTTTTGTTCTTTCTTTTTTCGTTTTTGTTTGTGTTTTTTTTGTTTGGGTTTGTATTTGTGTTTTTGGTTGGTTTTGCGTTTGGATTTGGTTTGTTTTCGTTTGCTTTTTCGTTGTTTTTTTTTTGGTATTGGTGTTTGTGGTTGGGTTTGTTGTTAGGTTTTTGTTTTCGTTTGTTTTTTCTTTGTGTTTGTATTGGTGTTTGTGGTTGTGGTTGGGTTTGTTGCTAGGTTTTTGTTTTCGTTTGTATTTGTAATTGTGTTAGCGTTATGTTTGCGTTTTGTTGTTTTGGTTGGTTGTGGTTTGGGTGGGCAATGCCGGGTTTATGATGATTACTAAACACACAGGTAATGGTCTTTAACGGAAAGGTTTTTCACAGAAGCCAGAGCAGGCCCTGGCCGGGACGGCTAGTATATTCATAAAACAAAGACGTGGCAATTTAACCTAGAACCATATTCATATCGTTGAGAATCTTACATATAGAAAATGCATATCTTACATTTAGAAAATACAAGTATCGCAATTTACTACCAACTGTCTCATAAGACCTCACCTACTTTTTTATATTATACTTTCACAATACCCATCCAACTGACCCAAAGAACCAAAATACAATTTGGTAATCAAAACATGCTTTTTATCATATATGATATTTGAAAAGATTACTACCAGTGAGAAGCTAACACAAAAATGATTTTTAAAAATACTTTTCCTAACAAATAAAATGAGGCAGGTGTTTTAACTTAATCATCCGATAGTTTTAATTCAGTTGGTAGTTGGTAACTTCAATCACCTGACGGGTATTCAGCAATTATGGTAACTCCAACCAAATGACGATATATGAGTTGGTGGAAGGTAATTTCCTTATGATGAGCCAAAGGTACGTGCTCTTAATATCACCCCTAGCCCTAATGGACACCAGCGAGAAAAGTCTCAAAGGTATTTGAGAGGTGTATAAATTCATTTAAAAATCATGCACAGCGTAGTTACAATTAATATGGTTATAAACTCCTGCCTGTCTGCTTTTTTTCGGACTTTACTAAAGATTGGATGTATTTGATGTTTATAATATTTTTGGTAACTAAATAAAAATTTAAAAAAAAGCAAAAACAATTTGGTTTTCACGTGTAATGGCGACATAAACATGGCATCCTGCTATTGGATAGGCTGCCATAGATTTTATTGTACACATTGTAAGCTAAAAATAGAAAACTAGGTAATGGGGTTTTAAATTTGCATTGTTATTTAAAAACTTGATCTGCAAAGTTTTGTAAACAAATAGTTATCGATCACTAAGTTACTGTACAGCCAATCAATATTTGTCTTACGAAAGTGAAACATCCGGTTATAACTTAGGCTTGATGAAAATAAATAGAAATGTAGCCTTAAACTCAACAAATTATTTTCAAGTTCTCTGGATTTGCAACTTTTATAGCATTAATTCTAAGAATATAAAATTTCTAAATTAATTTTAGGCTTAAGTTTTTATTTTTTATTTTTTTTTACGGTCTAAATCTAAAAAAACACGTTTTTATTCCATGACAACAACATTATGGAAGGAATCTCGTCAACTCGCTCGCCTCCATTGATATCAAACATTTAAAACGACTAACGCTTGAACTTATTTGATTGCAGCTACTAGAATAAGATCTTTTAACTTACCGCGCGGAAAAGTGGCGATGATAAAGAGGATGTAAGTTGCCGAGCTGATCATTTCAAACGCTGTTAACTCTCCAAACCAAAACAAAAGCTGACGGCTACATCGTTTCTCTCTCAAGATGGAATCAAAACAAGTTAAAAACACAATGTTTTCCAAGATGGAAGACACAGGAACTAGGGGACTAAATCGTGCACATTGTGTTGCTTTTACTTTAGCCGTGCAAAAAAAGACAGCGATATAGTGACACTCTTTACTATGTTAAACTATTCAATTTCAATGTATTCATTTTATATAATAACGTTTACAAACGACAGCAAAATGAAAAAAAAACAAGATTTAATAACAGCATTTAAAAAAAATGTTTCATAAAAAACGTTTTAATAACAAGCTTTTATGTATTAATGCACTAAAAAGTAGAAAAAAAAAATTATACACTACTATTTAATTTACTATAAAGAAAAGCATGGGTCTTTTTCTAAATATTAGTTAAGGTATCCAATAAATACTAAAATGGCCTCCGCTTTTCTTTATAGTAATTTAAATATTAGTTTATAATTTATTTTCTACTTTTTAGTGCATTAATACACAAAAGCTAGTTATTAAACTTTTTTTATGAAATTTTTTAGTACATTACATGATTTTATTTACAATAGAGTTTCATGACTAAAAACCATTGCGCGCCCATTGAAACGTGATGTCGCGCTATTGAAGGTGGTAGTGTGGTTCGATAGACATGCCTACTAATTTGGTCAAAATTTTAATTAATTCATAAAAATTAATTAGGCAACCAATGAAGTCAAATTTAATTTCAGATTGCATTGTCTTCATGTCTTGACCCACGTGTCAACTGTGAACCGTATGTGTCAAATAGAAGTGTCCGAATTTTTGCTCGAGCTTTTCGATCTAGACTATTCTAGACTGACGACAGACTGACGACTGACGACAGAGGAAGCGAGTTAAATAAAAGCTTGTAAAAATATTCGTCCCCCATCTCGTACAGCCTAAACAAAATCAAAATTCTTGATAAAAATTTTCAGCGTGCAAAACGTCCTTTGTTCTACATGTATGATATTTCACAACACTTGTTTCATTGAATGGTAACAGCTACTGTAAGAATTTAACCTGGTTCTGGATCATAGTCACTTAATCCTCGGACAAGTAATTAGGTAAGTAATTAATCCTAAAAAAAAATAAACGTTATAAATTAAACATTATGATTTATTAAAATTTAAATAACTTTCATATGAACGTCACAGTAAAAACTTATCAATAACAATTCAATACATTAATAATATTTAAATCACGCTTATCCTAACTGTTTGACAGATGCAGTGTTAAGTTCTAGACTATTCTAGCCTATTTATATCTAACCTACAAGTGACCCATAACAGGTTATGTGTATACCTGGGGAGGTGTATAGTACTAGCGTACCATTCCCCGCGCGTTGCCGCTGGATAGAAGAAAGTCCGACGAAATATATAAGAAGGGTTTCATCCATGCGTTACCAATCCTATATTATTAGACTCGTGACCTAGTTTTCTAAAAGTGAGTTGTTTAAATATAAACAATGCCTGCGCTTTGATCATAAATATCGGACCACGGTTTTACCTGCACAACAGCATGAAACCTTGAGTTTACATTAATCACTCACCGAAATAATGAGGTAGAACACACTTCGATGACCCCCCTCCCCATGTACCAGGGACGTAGAGGGGCGCTCTCAGTAGCTCCCCCCCCTCTGATTATACTGATGCATAGGCGCTGCGTACGGCCCCTGGCTCCTTAAAACTAACTGGCGCCATCGTGCCAAATAGCATCCTGTAAACAATGATGCAGATTGCATCATTCACTAAAGTGACACAAATGAACAGGATCTTTTTCTTTAACACGTTAAAAAAATATTTGACGTGTTTTAAACATCAGTGTGACTGATGCAATATGCTAGCGTTACTAATGGTCTATTATTAAATGCTCGATCTCAATTTCTGATTGGATTGTCTAAAAATGGTTTAAAAGTTGATATCGTTTAAAAGCACTGATTTCGGCCGAGCATGGCACTTACCACATTATCCCTCCATATGCTGAGGATACAGAAAGAGGTTAACTCTGCTTCACCTCCCCTCCAAGTCCCGATCGGCAGCTTTATCATTCACATTTTAAAAAATTAAATTTAATTTAACCTTGTGATGTGAAACTATTACACTATCATCTCAGCTATCTAGACACTTTCGATTAGGTGCAGAATTAGTGGTGTACTTTACTTAGATCAAGAGTCAGCGTAATAAACTTGAGTTTCGCGAATAGGCCATATTATTTCAATTTCAATTTTTTTCCAAATTAGTTAATTCGATAGCTAAACAAACAAAGACTTATGTAAAATAATGAAGGCCTGAATTTTTTTGTACAAAAACTCATTATTGCTATAGAGTCTCGATCTAGATAGAGCTAGATCTAGATGAAGAATCTACGGCTGGCTTAAGTCTAGTATTTCTATAACTTCATATCAAGATATCTAGATCTAGATAGAGTCTAGATCTAGAATCTAAGTCTAGTTTTTCCGTAGATCTAGATCTAGAATCTACGACTGGTTTATTGTAAAGCCTAGTTAAATAGTTATTGTGTAGCTCTAGATGTACATCTAGAATCCACGTAGATAAAGTAAATTTCAAGGGGTTTAGGCTGAGAAAATTGTATTGCATACATTTCATACCGTACGTCTAATTCATAAGTAGATCTATATCAAATTTGAATAAAATAGCTAATTTCTTAATACTCTAAAATTGGAAGGTGACGCCCTCTATTTTGTGTTCTTTTCTTAGACTTAGTTGCGTTCTTGTCACGACAATGAACACTTTAGTTGAAAATCTGTTTCGACATTCAAATATTCCTCTTTTTGTACTTCTTTAAATAAAACTTAGGTTATATACATTTAAACCGACCACCATGTTATTTTTAACAAAAATCCGTATCTTTAAATTATCCATATATCACTGAACATACTGTGTATGCCTATGCCTATGCCTATGCCTATGCCTATGCCTATGCCTATGCCTATGCCTATGCCTATGCCTATGCCTATGCCTATGCCTATGCCTATGCCTATGCCTATGCCTATGCCTATGCCTATGCCTATGCCTATGCCTATGCCTATGCCTATGCCTATGCCTATGCCTATGCCTATGCCTATGCCTATGCCTATGCCTATGCCTATGCCTATGCCTATGCCTATGCCTATGCCTATGTCTATGTCTATGTCTATGTCTATGTCTATGTCTATGTCTATGTCTATGTCTATGTCTATGTCTATGTCTATGTCTATGTCTATGTCTATGTCTATGTCTATGTCTATGTCTATGTCTATGTCTATGTCTATGTCTATGTCTATGTCTATGTCTATGTCTATGTCTATGTCTATGTCTATGTCTATGTCTATGTCTATGTCTATGTCTATGTCTATGTCTATGTCTATGTCTATGTCTATGTCTATGTCTATGTCTATGTCTATGTCTATGTCTATGTCTATGTCTATGTCTATGTCTATGTCTATGTCTATGTCTATGTCTATGTCTATGTCTATGTCTATGTCTATGTCTATGTCTATGTCTATGTCTATGTCTATGTCTATGTCTATGTCTATGTCTATGTCTATGTCTATGTCTATGTCTGTGTCTGTGTCTGTGCCTGTGTCTGAGCACGTTCACGTATACGAACGTGTATGTGTATGTGTATGTGTACGTGTACGTGTACGTGTACGTGTACGTGTACGTGTACGTGTACGTGTAGGTGTAGGTGTAGGTGTAGGTGTAGGTGTAGGTGTAGGTGTAGGTGTAGGTGTAGGTGTAGGTGTAGGTGTAGGTGTAGGTGTAGGTGTAGGTGTAGGTGTAGGTGTAGGTGTAGGTGTAGGTGTAGGTGTAGGTGTAGGTGTAGGTGTAGGTGTAGGTGTAGGTGTAGGTGTAGGTGTAGGTGTAGGTGTAGGTCAAGGCGTAGGTGTAGGCGTAGGCGTAGGCGTAGGCGTAGGTGTGGGTGTAGGTGTAGGTGTAGGTGTAGGTGTAGGTGTAGGCGTAGGCGTAGGCGTAGGCGTAGGCGTAGGCGTAGGCGTAGGCGTAGGCGTAGGCGTAGGCGTAGGCGTAGGTGTAGGCGTAGGCGTAGGTGTAGGCGTAGGTGTAGGTGTAGGTGTAGGTGTAGGTGTAGGTGTAGGTGTAGGTGTAGGTGTAGGTGTAGGTGTAGGTGTAGGTGTAGGTGTAGGTGTAGGTGTAGGTGTAGGTGTATGTGTATGTGTATGTGTATGTGTATGTTGATGTTCATGTTCATGTTCATGTTCATGTTCATGTTCATGTTCATGTTCATGTTCATGTTCATGTTCAATTGTGTATGTGTATGTGTATGTGTATGTGTATGTGTATGTGTATGTGTATGTGTATGTGTATGTGTATGTGTATGTGTATGTGTATGTGTATGTGTATGTGTATGTGTATGTGTATGTGTATGTGTATGTGTATGTGTATGTGTATGTGTATGTGTATGTGTATGTGTATGTGTATGTGTATGTGTATGTGTATGTGTATGTGTATGTGTATGTGTATGTGTATGTGTATGTGTATGTGTATGTGTATGTGTATGTGTATGTGTATGTGTATGTGTATGTGTATGTGTATGTGTATGTGTATGTGTATGTTTATGTGTATGTTTATGTGTATGTTCATGTTCATGTTCATGTTCATGTTCATGTTCATGTTCATGTTCATGTTCATGTTCATGTTCATGTTCATGTTCATGTTCATGTTCATGTTCATGTTCATGTTCGTGTTCGTGTTCGTGTTCGTGTTCGTGTTCGTGTTCGTGTTCATGTTCATGTTCATGTTCATGTTCATGTTCATGTTCATGTTCATGTTCATGTTCATGTTCATGTTCATGTTCATGTTCATGTTCATGTTCATGTTCATGTTCATGTTCATGTTCATGTTCATGTTCATGTTCATGTTTATGTTTATGTTTATAGTTTATGTTTATGTTTATGTTTATGTGTTAGTATATGTGTATGTTTATACCAAGAGAAATTTTTACCGATTTCTTTTAAAATTGGCACTGAATTTTGACTAAAGGCAATGTAATAAACATAAATTTGACTTAATTAGAAGCTTATTTAGTATTTTAAGAATTATTTTAAAAATTTCATATAAAGCACTAATTTTATCGAGCTAACAACTTAATCCAAAAGTTCATTTGCATATCGTATTTTGTTTTCCTAGTGTAGGTTGTGTTAATTAGTTATTTTATCAAGCATTAGTTGTAGTCAGAGGTGTATGTGTTTTTCATGAAATCCTGAGTTGGGTTTTCCACATTATTATATATTTTCTTCATTGTATTTTATTAGTTAAACTTGATAAATTTGAGAGGGTTTTGGTACTGATTACAGTTCTATTAGATTTAGGAATTCTTTGTATTTTTAATTTTACCACAGACGTTAGATAGCGAGTTTATAACGAGTTTTTGTTTCTAGCAGTCTTTTATGGTATTCATCTAGTTAATCAGTGTAGAAACCAACCCCGAAAGAATCCGAATGTTACGTAAGAAAATCAGTAGTAGAAGTACGTATCAATTAAAATACTTCCTCTATATTATGTATACGAGAAACTAAACACAATTATTTTGTTCTTTAAAGTGCATAATTATCATTGAAACTTTTTTCAAAATGTATGTAATTAACACAGAAACCAAAACATGTATTAAAATGTTTATTGCCATAAAATATCTAGCTATATATATATATATATATATATATATATATATATATATATATATATATATATATATATATATATAAATATCATCTTTTACAAAAATTCTAATTATGTCTATATTTAGTCCTATAGCACTTACTTCCCTTTGATAAATTAGGGAAAACACAATTACTTCCCTTTATAAAACCATTGCATTTGTGGAAAAAAAATTACTTTTTAATTACTTTGTTATGGTGTTGGGAAAAAAAATAATTACATAATTAGCGGGGATTGATCAAGTGCAAATGTTGTAGGTATTTTACGGATAAGCTTGGAGTATTATAATTGTTCATTAAATTGAAACAGGCGTATTCGTTTAAGTGAGTGCAAAAGATTATGAATAAGTTGGGGTACTATAGTCGTTCAGGTGATTCCGCCCCGGGCGTTTATGTTCGCGTTAGTGTTTTCTTTGTGTTTAGGTGGGTTTGCGTTTTGATTTGGTTCGTTTTTGTTCTTTCTTTTTTCGTTTTTGTTTGTGTTTTTTTGTTTGGGTTTGTATTTGTGTTTTTGGTTGGTTTTGCGTTTGGATTTGGTTTGTTTTCGTTTGCTTTTTCGTTGTTTTTTTTGTTGGTATTGGTGTTTGTGGTTGGGTTTGTTGTTAGGTTTTTGTTTTCGTTTGCTTTTTTGTTTGTTTTTTCTTTGTGTTTGTATTGGTGTTTGTGTTTGTGGTTGGGTTTGTTGTTAGGTTTTTGTTTTCGTTTGCTTTTTTGTTTGTTTTTTCTTTGTGTTTGTATTGTGTTTGTGGTTGTGGTTGGGTTTGTTGTTAGGTTTTTGTTTTCGTTTGTATTTGTAATTGTGTTAGCGTTATGTTTGCGTTTTGTTGTTTTGGTTGGTTGTGGTTTGGGTGGGCAATGCCGGGTTTATGATGATTACTAAACACACAGGTAATGGTCTTTAACAGAAAGGTTTTTCACAGAAGCCAGATCAGGGCCTGGCCGGGACGGCTAGTTTCATATAAAGCACTAATTTTATCGAGCTAACAACTTAATTCAAAAGTTCAATAGCATTCCGTATCTTGTTTTCCTAGTGTAGGTTGTGTTAATTAGGTATTTTATAAAGAATTAGTTGTAGTCAGAGGTGTGTGTGTTTTTCATGAAATTGTGAGTTGGGTTTTCCACATTATTATATATTTTGTTCATTGTATTTTATTAGTTAAACTTGATTCATTTTAGAAGGTTTTGGTACTGATTAAAAGTTCTATTAGATTTAGGAATTCTTTGTATTTTTAATTTTACCACAGACGTTAGATAGCGAGTTCTATAAAGAGTTTTTGTTTCTAGCAGTCTTTTATGGTATTCATCTAGTTAATCAGTCCAGAAACCAACCCAGAAAGAATGCGAATGTTACGTAAGATAAATCAGTAGTAGAAGTACGTAACAATTACAATACTTCCTCTATATTCTGTACACGAGAAACTATAAACAATTATTTTGTTCTTTAAAGTGCATAATTATCATTGAAACTTTTTCAAAATTTATGTAATTAAGACAGAAACCAAAACATGTATTAAAATGTTTATTGCCATAAAATATCTAGCTTGTTATTTTTATACTACTGGAATATACAGATAATTATACTGCATCACTTTAGATAACTTCGGCTTATAATATTTTATAATATTTTGCTTTATTTTATACTTTATCAGAGCCATATTTTCCTTGACTTCTTGCGATCTTAATCATTGAAAACACTTGCGATGACCGCTACAGCTACCACAATACTCCATGACTTTCCTGATAAATAAATAGAAAGCACATATAAACTATGTTTAAATGATGCACTTTTCGGAATTGAATGTGTTTGAGTTTAGTGGAGAAAATAAACATAGAGCATCTACGAAAGTAAACCGACAGATTTTTTCTTTAAGTAATAAATGTTATGAAACTTTTTTTGCTAACTACTTCTTAATCAGTACAATAAACTCCTCTTTTACTTGGGATATTAATGCATTGCCAATCGTTTTCAAATATTATAAGTAAATAAAAAGTATATCTTTGTAGGAAACAAAATATTCAAAACCTTTTAACGTAGTTTTTCCTTGTCCGTTTGTAGAATAGCTGATACCCAGAGCTATATCTCCACTTAAGCTATAGCAATCGAATTGTGCATTTTTGGGGGTCATCTTCTTTGGCAGGACCATTTTTGTCACTGGGTCGTAAACTGCGCAAATAAAAACTGTTCTCTAGTTTGGTATATATTAAGACAGTATATCTAGATGAAAATTTATTATCCGTATAACGATAGTTATCTTCTTTCTTCTTCTTCTTCGTTCTTAATTTTTAGTGTTGGAGGGATCGAGCCTTATCTGCCAGAGGGTTTGAACTCGAGACTTTTTTCGAATTTATCAACCATGAGCTTCCATCACAATTAAGGATTACTTGTCAACTGGTTTTGCGCCATTGAGGCCATTGACTACGATTTCAGCCTGCTTTTCTTTTTGGATTTGCTTCCATAGCCTTTGTCCAACCAAGAACAAACTACAAGGCAGCAGTTGTTTGATTTTGGAGTTGTCTCTCCTAGAAGAGTGGCTGTCCCCAACTAACGACTCGACCACGCCGACCCCCACGATAGTTATAAATATCAGTATACATATGGTATTGCTATTGCATTTTAGTACAGAGAGACTATATATATATATATATATATATATATATATATATATATATATATATATATATATATATATATATATATATATATATATATATATATATATATATATATATATATATATATATATAAAGATTAAGAACAGGATTTCACAATCTCACTTTCAAGATAATAACAACTTTATAGAAGCTCATAATGTTGTTTCAAGTAATGTCATACATATTACAAAATTTTGGCTGAACTAATGTCGTGTCAATGAATAGCCAACTTGTAAATAACCAATATCATACTAAGTAAGAATCAAGCAATTTGAAACTTTTTCTCGTTAGATTGTGAATGTTTTTATTTTCTAATGTTTCCTGACGCTCAGGACTTTTTGTATTTATCGGATAGTTTAAAATATCCGTTCGGTTAAACGGTTCAATGTATAGCTTTTCCATAATATGTTTGTTTAACATAGGGTCTACACTATATCCTAAATTTAATTTAAAAAACTTTAAATGTATTCTTCCCCGTCCCTTCTAAAAAATAAACCTAACTCCGCCCCAGACAAAAAAAATATAGGTGTGGTTGCTTTGTGGGTGTATGTGCTAATTCGTAAAGGACAAGGTTTAAAATATGTTTACTCCTGTTGTCAAAGAAACGAATATTACCTAATCCACAGCTGCGAAAATATCCTTCCTCTTGATACTTTTTCCAAATGAATAAACCCCTCCGACCATATTCTGGAATGCACCATTCAAGACGAAATCCTAGTACAACACAGAAGTTCAGGTAAAGCTCCTTATCCCTGATGAGTCCAAATATAAAAAAAACGCTTTATTTTAAATTTGAGAGGTATGTTCAGACACTGAACTGTTACACAAGTAGATATTTAATTAATTTGTTAAAATAAATTAAATATCTATATATACTTTTGGTTTATTTGTTAAAATTTATTTAAAAATATATATATATAATTGACTTGTTTCTTCTTTCATGTGGATCCTGACTATACCTTTAGCAGTAGCTCTCAGTTAAATCGCTAAACCGGCTATCATACAAACATGTCATAATTATAATAAACATGAAAAGCTGATTCCAAATGGTTCCAAATTTGTGTTGCCAGATAGCATATTTTTCAACCAAAATTTAATATTCTATAACATTTGTGTAATAAGTACAAAACTACTTCCTGTTTAAGGATTGAAATGGTCAAAGAAATAATGGAGGCGACGTCGTTGACGAGAATTCTTCCTTCATATTGTTGACATGGATTAAAATCATGCTTTTTAGATTTTGCAATCAAAGCCAACGTAAAAATAATTTTAAAATTTACAAAATTAAGCCCAACAATAATTCAAAAATTCAATATTTTTATCAATGTTTTAAAAATTGTAAATCCAGAGATCTTGAAAAAAAATCAATTGATGTAAATGTATAAATATTGATTGGTTGTATAGGAACTAAGTGATCGATTTCTGATAGCCCCACATCATAATTTTTTGTTTACAAAACTTTGCAGATAATTTTTTTTAAATAACAATACAAATTTAAACCATATGACCTAGTTCTGCCTGTTTTTCGCTTACAATTTGTACAATAAAATTATTACTAGCGTATATAATAGCAGGATGCCATTGTTTATGTCGCCATTACACGTGAAAACTAAATTGATTTTACTTTTATTTAATTTTATTTAGCTGCCGTAAAAATATTAAAAACATCAATTACATCCAATCTTTAGTAAAGTCCGAAAAAAAAGAGGAATTTAAAACCATATTAATTATAACTACGTCGCGTATGATTTGTTAAATATTTAATGGGCCACTCGAATACGTTTAAGACTTTTCTCGCTCGGGTCCATTACTAGTAATATAATAGTAATTTAGCAAAAACACTTTAACTTTTAATTTGGATTAGTGTAGTCGGGGTATTGTGGTGATTGGGGATGTTATATTATTTAATACTAGCCATCGGTACCCGTTTCACGTGAATTATATGCCTATATATTTTAAAACGTTGTACTTGTTTGAGAAAAATATTTTATAAAATAGTTATAGGTCAAAACGCAATGTGCTTTACTACACGCTGAACGACATTAGTGACAAAGCAAAGAAATAACTTATTAGCTAAAAATCCGACACATTTGACATAACACATGCACACACTGATTATGTGACTTAAATGATTCCATTAAAAACTCGGCTATTCAATGGTATTCTTCTTGTTTTTAAAGTGATTTATTTTTATTAGGTTTATATGTATAGCCCTATTCTTACATGGTAAATTTTATCCCACGTTGGCCAATTCCATAGCTTAACAAAGATTTCTATAAAATAAGTAAGGCCTGAAATAGTTTAATATAGAAATTTATCATAGCAATAGATGCTAGAGTAAATAGTCTAAATCTAGATATTAGCGTCTACGTCTAGTTTTTCCGTAGATCTATTCTAGATCTAGAGATTCTAGATCTAGAATCTCTAGATCTAGAATCCAAATAGATAAAGTAAATTTTATAAGTTCAGGCCGATAAAATTATAATGTATACATTTCATAGCGTTCGTAGATCTAAATCAAACTTGAATGAAATAGTTCACTTCTTTATATTCTAAAATCGGAAGATGACGCCATGAGTTCTGTGTACTTTCTTTATAGTAAACAATTGGCATGTGACGTCATTGTTTCGTGCGTTCTTTTCCACAACTATAAACACTTTTCCTGTTGCATTATCAAAACTGTTTTTCTACATTCGAATATGCCTTTATTTTTTTATTTTTCTTCTTTAAATAAAATTTTGTTTATACATTTAAAACATCTAACATATTATTTTCAACAAAAGTCCGTATTAAGTTCTCCATATATCGCTGAAGATTCTGATGTGCTATCCTGAGAAAATATTGTGCGGACAGAGAGAGAGAGAGAGAAGTGCGCACATAGGCTTTTATATATAAGGATAAATACAATACTACGCAATACAACATAGATCACTATTGTATATTTTTATTATGAAAAACAATTGTTCTGACTTTTACTGTTTTACTCTCCCTGGAAATTCCGGTAGATTTCAAGGAGAGGTTGAGGACAATTTATGAAAATATTTGAATTGATAAAATAAATCTATACGGCTTTTCAACGGCTTACATTCGATACAAAAATATTAAAAAGAGTGTAATCGATGGTTCCAAAACGGCTTTAAATTTTAGAAACGTAAATATAATTTTATCGCTTGCCATATTTTTAAAAATATTTTTTAAAACCTTATTACAATTACATAGACCTTTCATACATATATCTTTAATACGCAATTTGTTTGTTTTGTCATTGCTTTTTAATTATTTTTTTCTATTACGAATTAATACTTTTATATTGCTCCGCGTGCTGTTACCAGGTCGACATAATAATATGTAACCAATCAGAATGTGGTACACAAACTAAGGGCTGCCTATTAAAACTAAGAAAATAAATCACTTAACCTTGTCAAAATCAACGACAAAGATAATCCTAGACGACTCAGTGTTAGAAAAACAAATGACTACCTGGCTTAATTGGGCGTCATTTTCGACATTTGACTCTTTAAAAGAAGAAACTTGCAGCTTTTGGGGGTGCATAGCACTGAATTAAAGTTATTTCCCTTCCCATGGCATTAAAACAGGTTAATATGAATCATGACTGGTTTCCGTGCAATCAAAGCAATTGTTACTGCTGAAGGCATCGTCAGGGTTATACCTTGAGTGTGTTCATGATCAATATCCACGTGACTTGAGCGGGTGATATTCCTTATTGTAGTCTGTCTGCTTTGGCCACAGCCATTCTCTGTGTCGCTTAATCCTAGAACATTTGACTTTTTACCTTCTCATTTCTAGTCAGTCCTGTGCTGATCTACTACTTTCATGTAGGGTTCAGATGTACCAGACCCCTAATCTGGGTTTAGTCTAGGGTGTTAGGAGATTTGCCAGCAGGCTAGTTTCCTTGATGCCTTCACTAGTATGCATAATGGGCTCTTCTAAAAAGGACCCTCCTTGACCAACTCGATGTTGGGATGGTGTGTGTGCAGTTTCTGCAGCGGGTTCTGTTTACACGAAATAGGTTGCTAGTCTTATGCTCAAACCCTCAACCTGGAAAACCAATAAACAGTCAAAATACGTACAGGCACGTTGTATTCCGATGTTTGTCCATACACCCTCCAACTGCTTCACAAATCCCTGTAACAATAAAACGATCCTCCATTTAAAAAGAGCTATACTGCGTATTTACATAACCAAACACTTTCTTAAAAACAGAAATTATGTAACTAAATTAATGGCAAAACAGATAATACGGTTTTTTATTTCAAAATTGAATCGGCCTTAAATTCTCTTAAAGCAATGTTTTTATTATAGTACACAGTGTTTTTAAAACGGAAATGGGTAAATTTAAAGTTTTAAGTTTATTTTGTATTATAATTCACTAATCAGTACTAGTTACAATCATTATAGGAAATGACAATAGATGTTCAATAAAAAAAATTTCATTATTAAATTTTTAAATTATAAAGAATCACAGTACAGAAACAGAAAACCAATTGTGTTTATTAATTTAAAAATTGTAAATTATTAATTTCCTAAATATTTTAAATCACTATTTTTAATTATTTTAAAAACTTTTATGCTACTCGAAAGACCAAATGAGTTTTTTTTTTATTGCGCAATTAATAAAATAACTAAATTTCTACGATTTATTCTTATTATATGTTCCGATAAAAATGATATAACATTTCTTTTGCAAAATTTATCTATCTCAAGAACTTTTGTTACAAGGTTATATACAGTTTTTATAACATTTGTGAAAATAATCTTAGAGTTATTTCCATTTTGAATCGCCAATAAAATGTATAAATCATTTTAAAGCTTAAAACACTTTCAGTTATAACTATGAGCCACAAATGAGAGAATTACAACCGAAAAAAAAACATTCTGTTACTGATCACTCGACATGTCCTTATTAAGGTTATAAAAATGTCGTTAAGCTACATACCGAACTAATACGATTAATACAAATTCATACAACAAAATGGTTAGCTGTATTTATTAAATACAAATATCCATACGTACGGCGGTTTGATTTCGTTGGAATATATAAAGCATAGCAGGGTACGAGATCTGCCCGGCTTTGATCAAATGTAAAACCAGTTTCAGATCTTGGGTCCAAATCTGGGAAGCCACACGAAGTTCATTTAAAATTTATGTGCATACTTTTTAAATAAAACAATTTAAACAAAAAATAAGCTTTAAAAGGCATTTGGGGAATCTAGCAACTAGTAAAAGCATGGGTCACTCAATAATTAGCATATAATTACAAATGTAAACGACCAATGCTTATAATAAGCATGATAGTTGGCTATATTTTCTTTTTTAATCTTTTCCTTTTTGTGTCCAAGACAAATGGTGTCGCCACACATAGCTCCCTGCACCCAACACATAGGACCGCCACTGACAGCTCCCTGCACACAAGACACTTAGGGCCGCCACTGACAGCTCCCTGCACCCAACACATAGGACCGCCACTGACAGCTACCTGCACACAACACATAGGACCGCCACTGACAGCTACCTGCACCCAACACATAGGACCGTCACTGACAGCTCCCTGCACCCAACACATAGGGCCGCCACTGACAGCTCCCTGCACCCAACACATAGGGCCGCCACTGACAGCTCCCTGCACCCAACACATAGGGCCGCCACTGACAGCTCCCTGCACCCAACACATAGGGCCGCCACTGACAGCTCCCTGCACCCAACACATAGGGCCGCCACTGACAGCTCCCTGCACCCAACACATAGGGCCGCCACTGACAGCTCCCTGCACCCAACACATAGGACCGCCACTGACAGCTACCTGCACACAACACATAGGACCGCCACTGACAGCTACCTGCACCCAACACATAGGACCGTCACTGACAGCTCCCTGCACCCAACACATAGGGCCGCCACTGACAGCTCCCTGCACCCAACACATAGGGCCGCCACTGACAGCTCCCTGCACCCAACACATAGGGCCGCCACTGACAGCTCCCTGCACCCAACACATAGGGCCGCCACTGACAGCTCCCTGCACCCAACACATAGGGCCGCCACTGACAGCTCCCTGCACCCAACACATAGGGCCGCCACTGACAGCTCCCTGCACCCAACACATAGGGCCGCCACTGACAGCTCCCTGCACCCAACACATAGGGCCGCCACTGACAGCTCCCTGCACCCAACACATAGGGCCGCCACTGACAGCTCCCTGCACCCAACACATAGGGCCGCCACTGACAGCTCCCTGCACCCAACACATAGGACCGCCACTGACAGCTCCCTCCACTTTGTTCGGTCTCCTGTAATTTTCCTGACAGTCCCTCGTGACAGTCCTGCCTCTACCAGCTGATCTCCCGCCGTGCGTCTTCCTTTCTTTCTTTTTCCTTGAGGCGTCCAGAATCATCCAAATTCATTCTTAGCAGATGCCCAATCCATCGCCATATTCTTTTTTTTTTTAATTCGTAAACTGCTTCCTGTTCAATTACTCCTAGAAGCCTCTTATATGAAAAGGTGTTAAGCCTGTGGATGCCTTTTATCTTTTGCAAGCACTTAGTTTAGTGATCTGCCAGTGGCGATTGTTACTTTCTAGCATTTGCTGCTATACAGTAGGAAGCAAAGGACATTACTTTGGAAAATTCTTCAATCGCCAGGTTTTTGCATGATCATAAAGGCTTGCTGGACTTAAGATACGCGTGTTTTGATTTTAGCCATGCAGTCTCTTTTATAATTAATAATGCTCCCTTAATTTGTACCATAAGTGGCGTCTCATGTGGGGGGGTTACATTGTTTACACATATATATATATATATATATATATATATATATATATATATATATATATATATATATATATATATGTATATGTATATATATATATATATCAGGGGTCTCCAAACTACGGCCCGCGGGCCGGATGCGGCCCGCGAGGTCATTTTATCCGGCCCGCGACGATCTTTTTGTCCACTGAATAAATGTTTGTTGGAGGTGGCTGAGGAGCTTTGCCCAGAAAATTCAAAACAATTTGAAAATGTAGCTTTGTGTGCAAATACAATTACTCGCCGTGTAGCAGACATTGGTGAAAACATTGCGACTCAAAAATTCAAGCAAGTTTCGCCATTTTTTTTATTGCAATGGATGAGTCGCTGGGCAGCTGTTCCACCTCTCAACTTCTTGTGTTCATTAGAGGTGTGTATGAAGACCTGAACATAACATAAGAGCTGGCTCCCTTACATAGCATGTATGACACTGTTACCGAAGAGATATCTAACCATAGATAATTCAGAGACAAACACAAAATCGCAAGATTTACCATATTTCATATCAGTAAGATTGCTAATTTTGCGAGAAAATTCTGAGCAGAGTATCTAAGAAAAGAAATAGGTGACTTAATGATAGTAAAGGCAAGTCACAGCCATTATTGTCTGATGAAGAGTGGGTATAGAAATTGGCCTCTGCTGCAAACATAACTAGTCATTTAAAATTTCTGAACCTAAAACGGCAAGAGATTGAAATATAGTTTCTGATCTATACATCCACCTTAAGGCCTTTAGACACACACTTGTCATGTTTTTGGAACAAGTACAGGCCAACAACTTGACTCACTCTCAGTAGTGCAAGGCCTTTACGGCTGAAGCAACCACTGAGTTCCCCACGTCATTTACATACGAGATCATTAAAGACCTCCAGCTGCAGTTTCAGTAGCGGTTTTCTGACTTGGATTTAAAGACAGAAGAAGTGAGACTGTTTCAAAGCCCATTTGAAGCAAAACTGGCCATTTGCAAAGATGAACTGCAGCTGGAGGTCATTGAATAGCAAGAAAATGACTTCCTTAGAGACACGTTCAAAGAAGGGCGGATAGGTTTTCATACGTTTTTGCACAAGGAAGACTTTCCTAACATTAAAACGTTTGCATCAAAGTACCTTTCAAATTTTCGAACAACACACCTGTGTGAACAAACATTTTCAAGAGATGCCTTAAAGAAACTCTGGCCCCCGAACTGATATGTGATAGTTAATGCGGCCCTCGGGCTGTAAAGTTTGGAGACCCCTGAGATAGATAGATATATATATATATATATATATATATATATATATATATATATATATATATATATATATATATATATATATATATATATATATATATATATATATATATATATGCATTAATATTAATAAATTTGAAAGACATTTCTTTGTATAGCTGTTTCATTCTTTAGCATATTGTGATTGAATAAAAATTAAGAGAAGAATTTGCTTAGTACAAAACTATAAAATTGAGCATTTTCGGCACCCTATTAGGCTATTTAAAGAGGGCGATATATATGGAAGGGGTTTGAAGGTTTGCCTGTCTTACCACTACAGATCTTGTAGTAGTTTTTTGTTGGGTTTTTTTTTTGTTAAGTTTTTGCAATAATGTAAGTTAGTAACTGTAGAAAAATTACTACTGTAGTAGATCTTTAAAAAAAAGCATTGGTCTATCATGGTGAAATGAATTGTACTAACAGATCAGTACGTGGGTGGAGGGGGCTCAACTTCATTCACCACTGTCCGGTTGCTTTAGGTCTATTATCTTATCCAGCGTATACCTAAGCATGACAATAAAGTCGCTCTACACAATTACGGCATGTCCCGTGCTGGTAAGCAGGTACGAGGGGTGAGGTGTGTTAAACAACTCAGAGTGAAAAAAGCGTCAATTTTTAGATGGCTGTTTTAAATATACATATACAATTATACACGGGAACAGAGCATCCCCAATTTTACAAGCTCTCTAAGAAAATTTTATATCCGTCATCATATTGTATTTGGCATCATTGGAAAGCTGGATTTCTCGTGTATTAAACAGATATGGTATTTTCGTGACCTACTTTTTACTACTTTTTGCTGTTTTACTCAGTTCGCAGTTTCTTAACACTTAAAGCCTAATACGTTTTTATTTATTAAACAATGCCCACCATATTTTCAGTAAAAGTTCCTCATGCAAAAATAAAACTTTGTCACGAGGGAATTGTGATTGCTTTCATAGAAAAAAGGTTTATGGTAAATAATATGCAAATTTTGAAACTTTTGAATACTAAAATGAGTACTATTTTCCAGACCTTGTAAAGTTCTGACCAGAGAGCTCTTTCAAAACGTTGTCATGCCTAAAGTTTTTATATATACTGAAATATATGCTGTTTTAATTTGATTGCTATAAGTGCATGAATAAATGAAGCCTTAACATTTCTAAAAATACAGAAAAATTCAAAATGGCGGTGGTATTTCTTTCGGGTTTTCATGAAAACCAAAATTATTTTCAACCCTTTTCTTGCTGTTTAATACTTATTATCATGTGCGAAACATTATAAAAGTATTCAAAAGGCTTTGGATCTTAAACTGTAAAAAATACAAATCAATTGAGCATATCCCAATAATCTTATTTACTCAGGTTTAATTTTTTCACTTAGTAATTATGTTATTAATAGTTAGACCTTTTTTAAAAATTAAAAATGGGGCATTCTTGCGTTGTCGATTGAGATGAATAAATGCAAAAAAGTTTGAACATCGTCTCTAATTTAGGTGTGGGGTAAAAATTGAGAGACAAGATTTGGCACAAACCCACCGATGTTGTAAAATAAATTAAAAAGCTTGTAATACAAATGCATTCATTTGAATATCCTAAAGATACATTATTTTTCAACCATATATTCTTTATTAAACATACATTCTTTATTATCTGCGGTAAATAATTCGACAAGTTACAATACAATGCAACATAAAAGAATCCAAAACTATCTGATATAAAAGCCTTAAGATACAAAAACTTAACTGTATCCGCAGCGTTTAAACTCTCCAGATTGATTGAATGTATCCAAAAGTTTTTGTGCATATCTTTTATCTCCTTGCCAGCAATGATTGCTTTGTATAATTTTATATGCACAGTTGGCATAATCAAAGCTTTCACTGTAGAAGTATATATATATATATATATATATATATATATATATATATATATATATATATATATATATATATATAGGCTAAACAAATATATAATTATACATATATATATTATAATGTAAAGTAATTAGTTTATACACAACTGATTGTATCGTATATATATATATATATATATATATATATATATATATATATATATATATATATATATATATATATATATATATACACTAATATATATATATATTTATATTACAGAACTGATTTGTTTTTTCTCAATATTCGATATATAAAAATAAAAGTCGATTTTGACACCATTCTTCCGATCGCCATCAAACTTTGGTGGGTTCATTAGAACACTTTTGGGAAGGGTTATGTAAAAAAAACATTTTTAATATCACAAATTCGGCGCTACGGGAGGGTGCGATTTTTCTCTCTCGTTTATAAAAATAATAAAATTAAATTGCCGTGACACCGTTCACACGATCGCCATGAAACTTTGGGAAGATGTTGAGAACATTCCTGGGAAGGTTTCTGCAGGGTTGGCGCCCAGGCAATGCGCTATTTGTTTTTTCTCAATATAGGGTATATTAAAATAAAAGTCGATTTTGGTTTGACAGCGTTCGCCCGATAGCCATGAGACTTTAGGGAGTTGATTAGAACACTCTAGGGAAGTGTTCTGTCAAGAAAATCTTTTTTTAATTTTGCAAGGGCGGAGCGACGGGATGGTGGAATTTTTCTCTATACGGTATATAAAAATAAAAGACGATTGAGGTTCCACAAAGTGTATCCGGGTGCCATAAAAACTTTAGGGAGTTGATGAATACTACCGAGAAGGTTTCTGGGGTTGGAGGGTTGAGGTGAGTGGTGTTGGGATGGGGATTTAATTTTGCATGGGCGGCCCCCGGCAGGATGCGATTTGGCGCCCTGGTCTTTCCCGTGAGCGCTATGGCGACTACGTTTTGTCTAAACAGTGTGATAGACTGTGGATAGGATGGGGCGTTACAAACGCTCACTAAATTGAATCAGGCGTGTCCGCCGGCACCCTGGTTGGATGCGATTTGGCTGCAAAAAAAAAATCAGTTTCCATCCACAAAGGCTCACATGGGCCGCTGAGGGCCATGTAATACGTTTTATTTCAATAATCAGAAAAATTAACCAAGATTAGCTTATTAACTGGGATGTTTCTTTTTGTCCGTAAAAAATCCAAACAGTTTCGTCACTTTGCGAATGATGCAATTAGCACTGATGTTTAAAACACGTCAAATAATTTTTTTACGTGCTAAAGAAAAAAATCCTGTTCATTTGTGTCACTTTAGTGAATGATGCAATCTGCATCATTGTTAACAGGATGCTATTTGGCACGATGGCGCCAGTTAGTTTTAAGGAGCTAGGGGCCGTACGTGGCGCCTATGCGGTAGTGTAATCGGGGGGGGGGGTGCTCCTGAGAGCGCCCCTCTACGTCTCTGACACATGGGTGGTCACCGAAGTGTGTTCTACCTGATTATTTCGGTGAGTGATTAATGTACACATAACGTTTTCACGCGGTAGTGTAGGTAAACCCGTGTCCCGGTGTTTAACTCACTTTTAGAAAACAAGGTTACGCGTCTAAGAATATAGGATACGTAACGTATGGATGAAACCCTTCTTCTACCCCCGCGGCAACGCGCGAGGACGGGTACGCTAGCATATAATTATAGTATATATATATATATATATATATATATATATATATATATATATATATATATATATATACATATATATATATATATATATACATATATATATATATATAAATATATGGGGCACTGATAATATATATATATATATATATATATATATATATATATATATATATATATATATATATATATATATATATATATATATATATATATATATATATATATGTATGTATATATATATATATATATGTATGTATATATATATATATATATGTATATATATATATATATATATATATATATATATATATATATATATATATATATATATATATATATATATATATATGGATTTTAAAATGTGCTTACAAGCAGAGCAGTTTTGACAAATGTCCTTCGGGGAGACATATGGTACGGCAGTGTTCATCTGCTGTATTCAGAGCTGCAATATACATAGACATTTATTATAATGAAATTTTCAATAATGGAGCTACAATATATAACGTCAGATATTTGTGGTATAAAAAATATTCAAGAATGGAGCTACAAAAAAATAGCGTCCGGCATTTGTGGTATGAACTAGTAAAGAACTGAATTGGAAAATGTTTTAAACTCAAACATTTAAACGCCGCATTTGTTGGTGTTGGATGTGTTTAAAAAAGAGATAATAAGTTGTATCTAGTAATGTCATATGTTTCTAGATTTGAATAGCACTAGAACACCCACTTTACAATTTATAGAACGTCACGTTGCTGCAAAATACCACACACACCCCCCCCCTATACACACATACATACGTCCCTTCCTCTGTCCCCTACCTTTTATTTGTTTCAAAAGATTGAGGCTAGCTTTATAAATAACAAAAAGCGTGGCAATTTAACTTATTACCTACTTCATATTGCTAAATATCGTACATATATATATATATATATATATATATATATATATATATATATATATATATATATATATTCATAAAACAAAGACGTGGTATTTTAACCTAGAACCATCTTCATATTGTTGATTATATTACATATAGAAAATGCATATCTTACATTTAGAAAATACAAGTATCGCAATTTACTACCAACTATCTCATAAGACCTCACCTTTTTTTTATATTATACTTTCACAATACCCATCCAACTTACCCAAAGAACCAAAATACTATTTGGTATTTAAAACATGCTTTTTATCATATATATTTAAAAGATTACCAGTGACACAAAAATGATTTTTAAAAATACTTTTCCTAACAAATAAAATGAGGCAGGTGTTTTAATTTAATCATCCGATAGTTTTTATTTCAGTTGGTGGTTGGTAACTTCAACCGCCTGACGGGTATTTCAGTAATTATGGTAACTCCAACCAAATGACGATATATGAGTTGGTGGAAGGTAATTTCCTTATGATGAGCCAAAGGTACGTGCTATTAATATCACCCCTAATTGATATCAAACATGTAAAACGACTAACGCTTGAATTTATTTAATTGCAGCTACTAGAATAAGACAACAATTTGTTCTTCAACGGATCTTTTAACTTACCGTGCGGAAAAGTGGCGATGATAAAGAGGATGTAAGTTGCCGAGCTGATCATTTCAAACGTTATTTCTCCAAACCAAAACAAAAGCTGAAAGCTACATCGTTTCTCTCTCAAGATGAAATCAAAACAAGTTAAAAACGCAATGTTTTCCAAGATGGAAGACACAGGAACTAGGGAACTAAATCGTGCACATTGTGTTGCTTTTACTTTTGCGGTGCGAAAAAGACAGCGATATAGTGACACTCTTTACTATGTTAAAGTATTCAATTTCAATTTATACAATTTATACAATAACGATAACAAACAAACAAAAAAATGGAGGAAAAAACGTAGATCTAATAACAGCATTTTTTAAAAAAGCAATTTGATTAGTTAAGACATAGCAGTAAAATAGTACTCAAAAATTTGGAATAAAGAAATATTATTACAAAGCAGTAGCGTAGCCAGGATCGTCTCATGGGGGGGGGGGGGGGGGTTCAATTTTTTTCCAGCAGCATATAACCCGGGGAAAAACTTTCGATTTGCATCCCCCCCCCCCTCAAACTTTTGATTTGCATTCCCCCCCCCCCCTCAAACTTCTTTCGATTTGCAACCCCCCCCCCCCCCCCTCAAACTTTTGAATTGAACCCCCCCCCCCCCCCAAACTTTTGATTTGCACCCCCCCCCCCCTCAAATTTTCGATTTACACCCCCCTCAAACTTTATATATATACCGAGGAGTCTATGGGGTGGTTATGACCCCCCTAACACCCCCCTGCCTACGCCACTGTTACATAGTTATAATACAAACTGAGATAGAATAGGAATAAAATAGATGAATGAGAAATGTTGCAATGAGTCAGTTAAGGAGGTCATTAAATGATTGCTGTTTTTAGTATAGTTTTGAAATATATTTCAGATAAAGATAGTTTTTATTAGGAGGATTGTTCCACAAATTAGAACCAGAGTAGCTGAAGCTATGTTTTTGGGAAAAAACGTTGAAGCCTATATGGGATTGGTAAACTAAGATGACGATTTAATTTTGTGTTAAAAGATAATTGGTGTTAGAGAGGGGTGTTTCGTGAAATATTTTAAATTTAAAAAATTGCTTTAGTATACATTATTTTTCTTATTTATCGAAAGGATATCTATCGGAAGTAACAAATAAATTAAGCGTAAATAACTTATTTATATTACTTATTTAAAAAAAAAACAAGCGTATAAATAACTTATTATTGATTATGAATTAATTATCATTTCCAACTTTTCCATGATGCCGTTCGTCTTTTTACCTATCTTCATTGCAAATGAAAGTAGATTGTGGAAAACACTTTGGCCCTTCTAAATTTTCTATATAGGCCTACTTAGGTCAATTACCCACTTTTGCGCTATCGAAACAAACTCGAGACAATATATATACATATTGTCCATATTGTCTATTTACCTTGAATTTCATTTCCCTTGTCCTCTTTTTGTATTTCATCAATACCACAACGATACGCAATAAAATTTGTAACCCTGTTTTCGAATCTTTTACGAAGAATTAATGAGTACAAAAAAACGTTGATTAAGAATCAATTACTACGAATAACTTTGATTGATTATTCTTTAGCTCAAACACTTTAAATAAGATTATATTAAATCCAACACTTTGATTTAAAAAGGAGAAGATCTATTTCTTTTGACTAAGTCTTTTCCTGTTCGTATCCAAGACAGATGAAGTAGAGTTCTTCTGTTTCAATTACCTCGGCATACAAGAGGGTAATGTCGTCAGCACTATGCCCAGCCGCCAATGTTTCACTAACGTGAGTCAACGCGGCGACACTTTGTACACCCTCTGTGTTATGCAACTGCTTTTAGATTGTTCTTTTTTCCAACCTTTTACCTCGCTTCCACGTGCTTTGTGTTTTGTCGTCACGGATCGAAACTGACGAGCGAAATTTCGACCACTTCTAACCGCCCAATTTCTCTGCAACTTTGGCACGTGGACAGTTGCAATTTTTTTTATACAGAATAGGCAGCTGGAGATAGCCTGTTATTCATACGGATGGGACTGCAGTGTTTTCACCGCTAAGTCCCTCTTCTTCTTCTTCTTATCTGCCAGTGGGTTTGAACTCGAGACTTTTTTTCGAATTTATCAACCATGAGCTTTTGCCAACTCGACCATGCTTCCATCACAATTAAGGATACGTGTCAACTGGTTAAGCGCCATTGAGGACATTTACTCCGATTTCAGCCTGCTTTTCTTTTTGGATTTGCTTCCATAGCTTTTGTCCAACCAAGAACAAACTACAAAGCAGCAGTTGTTTGATTTTGGAGTTGTCTCTCCTAGAAGAGTGGCTGTCCCCAGCTAACGAGCCTCATCTGCCCGAGGGTTCGAACTCGGGACTTTTCTGTTTAGCAACCATGAGCTTTACCGACTCGACCAACGCCGACCCCCCGCTAAGTCCCTTATATGTTCGATCTCCTGAACAAAACACGGGGGTAAAAATACACGACGTCCAGATACCGGTGAGTAACAATCTCTGGCATGGCAGGCTGGCCATTAGGAAAAGTCAAACTGGGGTCAGATAGAAACGAAAGACTCACTGGGACTCAGAGGCGTAGCAACCCTTCCCAGCGCCCGGGAACAAACTTTCGATTTGCACCCCCCCCCCCCTCTCGAACTTTTCATTTGCACCCCCCCCCCCCTCAAACTTTCAATTTGTTTTTCCAACCCTATTTGGCGCCCCCCCCCCCTAAGGTCGGCGCCCGGGGACATAGTCTCCCCCTCGCTACGCCTCTGCTAAGACTGGTCCTCACAAATGTAATTAACTAATCCTGTTATTTTTATTTTTGCTGTGTAATGTCTACCCCTTCTGTGGTGCTGTGAAACCAGGGTCTCAGCCAGGTTGGCGTCATGTGGTTTTGTTTTGTTAAATCTCTTCTGCCATTTTTTTATTAACTTATTATATTTTAAAATGTGGAAAGGATTTTAGCTTTCAATTCACTTTCGGAATATTGCTCTTTGAACCAGCTAACTCCCTGAATGGCTTGTTATAGTGCTATCAAAGACAGTTTACTACATGTCTAATTGTCGTGTTGAAAATTATATTTTTACAGCACAACGTATGGGAACAAAATGGCCATCGGTATGTTGATGAATGTATACATAGAGAAGAGAGTATTTACAGAATCAGTGTTTCATAATATCCGTACATAGTTGATGTGAAGTGGTAACGGATGACTCAGTGTTGCAGTGTTATAGAAAACTTTACAAACATTTTCAAGGATGAATAATATAACAAATGCTAATAATTGTAGAACCAAATCTATTGAATAATAAAACAAACTTTAAATTACATATACGTTTAAAATAAAATTTAGAATATACAGTTAAAACAAAATTGTAAAAAAAAAATTTTAAACTTATTTTTATATGCATTTATACATATATATATATATATATATATATATATATATATATATATATATATATATATATATATACTACATACAATGTTAAAATAAAATTTAAAATGTACAGTTAAAACAAATTTATAAAAATGTGTTGAACATACTAGGTACAACAAAATTATATTTGTGTTTCATTTTTAAATTTCAAGCAATTTTTTTGTCTTACTTGATAAATATCAGCTAAATGAAACTGTTTTAAGTGTCAAATATAAAATAAATTAGATCAGTTGCCTAACTTAGTCACATAGATATAAAAGTCAGTCTGGAGATATTAGAAAATACGTTAACTATCGAACTCGTTGAGAGTTTATAGAAAATACGTTAACTATCGAACTCGTTGACGTCATTGGTTTAACCGACGTTGTTCAAGAGGACCACGCCGAGGTATGATGTCTCCTTACCAAAGTCGCTCACGTTTTTCATGGAGGCCGTCACCTGTAGCTTGTCTCCAGTCACCAAGTAAAACACGCCGCCTAGTGATAGAAAATAAAGTGAAACGTTTGACAAACACTACAGGATTTTACTAGTGCTAGTGGCAGTTTTAATATACTAAATTGCGTAAAAGTAAAACACAAAAAAAAACATAAAAACTAATATTACACACTAAAATAACAGCCAACAAATATTACTTCGAATACATAAATTGTTTAATTGTTATAAGTTTTTATTTAACATAATTCACGGGATTTTTGCTTTTGTTTCTTTATTTATTACTTCGTCATAATATGTTAAAACGTGTGAGCGAAATTTCGACCACTTCTTTTTAATTTTACACGTTGGTCAAACCCGATAACAATTCAATATGACTTAAAATATTACTTAATTAGATGTTTCATTATTTTTTTAATTAATTAAAGTTCCCTGTGTATTATACACACGATGTTTGCATTAAAAATTTTAGTATGTTATTCTATTATATTAAAATTTGGAAAATATTTTTTTTAATTTCTTAAAACAAGTTTTAATCAAAAGATTTAATCTATGCACTAAAACAAGAAAATAGATAATTTTCTTTAAATATATTATAATGTACTACTATGTAAATAACACAACCTAGACCCAAAGATTACGGTTTAAAATAACTATCACTAAATTTTTCCTACCTGTGAAAGCGGTCTCCTGATATTCTGAATCGTCACACACAGTGTGATGAGTTTTTAACAAGACGTGTGAGCTGATTCTGTTGGTTTTATGCACATAGTGATGGCGTGTCTGTAACCAACACATCAAAATATTATTTAAGTCACATCCTATAACTTTTTTATAAATTTGTAGCTTTAGATCTTATCAAATAACTTTTAAAAATTTGTAGCTTTAGATCTTGTCAAACGACTTTTATAAATGTGTAGCTTAAGATTTTAACAAATAAATTTTATAAATTTGTAGCTTTAGATCTTATCCAATAACTTTTATACATTTTTAGCTTTAGATCTTATCAAATAACTTTTATACATTTGTAGCTTTAAATCTTATGGAATAAATTTTATAAATGTGTTGCTTTAGATCTTGTCAAATAATTTTTATAAATGTGTAGCTTTAGATCTTATCAAATAACGTTTTATACATTTGTAGCTTTAGATCTTATCAAATAACTTTTATAAATTTATAACTTTACGTCAAGTCCAATAACTTAAAATTTGGTAGCTTTGTCAAAACACACATACATTTGTAATGTCGCAGCTTCTTGATAATACACAATTTTGTTTTAAATCCATTGCTATTAATAGGTTAGTAACCTAACCTTTAACCATCAAAAATAATTTTAAATTACTATTTTTTTTTCAACCATACTCGGCTTAACAACACATTCTTCCTTTTCAATCCAAACATTACAAATTTTCACATAAAAACTACTTTATCCATGTTAGATGAAACAGTAACAATATTCACCTAGAAGCATTTCAATATTATGCCAATTGAAAAAAAAACAAGACATTCTATTGTAACGTAATAACAATATTCAAATAGAAACTAAATATCCCTGATAAGATGTTACAATATATTTATGCTATTAAAATACCATGCCAATAGTCACATACAAACAATTATCAACCTTACATCTCGACTTAATAATGTATTCAATAAAATACATTAAGAATATTCACTCTTTGAAAAACATTTCTCTAACATAGAAGACATAAGATGCCAAATTTACTGAAACAATATTCACAAAGAAGCACCATTTATCTGCCTTAACATGCGCAACACAGTAAAACATTCTCAGAGAAACATCATGTCTACCATATAAACAAAGTATTGGAATAAAACAGTAACAATATTCCTTTTGAAACAGCATGTGCAAAAAGTTATACCATTGGAACACAATAGCAACATCCACAGAAAAACATCTTACTTAAATCTCCATACAAACAAAGTATTGGAATGAAACAGTAAAGTATTCCCAAAGAAAGAACATGTATCTACCTTAGTGTGACAGTCCCGTGTTTCACTGCTGCTTTTGTCCATAAAATTAAAGTTGCTGTATACATAGTACATGCCTGCAAACATTCAAATTAGAATCAATAAAAAGTATTATTAAGCGTCCTTTGGCTTTGGGTGGGGGGGGGGGGGGGGGCGCACTTGAAACATTCTTGGAGACGGACAAAGTTTTCCGGGGGATGGGGCAGTGGCCTAACCAGGAATTGGTAATGGGAGGGGATCAAATATTTTTCCATATGTTTAAAATAATATATTATATATATATATATATATATATATATATATATATATATATATATATATATACTAGCTGCATCCCGTGCTCCGCCACGGTAAATCTTTTTTAAATGTACCAACAGAACAAAACTACACACAACACAAACGAACGCAAAAAAAAAAAAAAAAAAAAAAAAAAAAAAACGAAAAAACAAACACAACACTCATAACATAAACACAATTTAAATGCAATCACAAAGGCATATTGCTCACAGTCTAGCCCGTAGCGCCAAATCGCGCCCTTTCCGGTGATTTGCACCCCCCTCAAACTTTCGATTTGCACCCCTTCCCCCCCCCCCCCCCCCCCGCCCTAAAACTTTCGATTTCCACCATCCCCCCCTCGCAAATTTTTTCCAACCCACTTTGGCGCCCCCTAATGTCGGCACCCGGGGACATATGCCCCCCCCCCCCCCCCCTTCGCTACGCCTCTCCTATAAAACCCTAAAGATAGAATAATAATTAGAAAACAGTATAAAAAATAGGCAGTATCTATAATTAATATATATAATATTTCACTTTATCCATTCACGCATTTTTTTTCCAGTACTTTAAATTTTAACAATTTACAATAGAGTTTCATAACTAAAACCATTGCGCACCTAATGAACGTGATGACGCGTCTATATTAGTGCTGAATAGTTGATTAAAAATTATAAGTAATAAACAGTAGGGCCTACATTCAGTGAATAAAATAAATAAAAGATTGCCTTTTATCAATCCATGCTAATTATAATTTTCTAACAATAATTTCCTCTTACACATCCGAATAATTTGCATTCACATTTTGCTAATTATATTATTGCAACACTAATTCCTTCTATGACGAACGTATATTTGCATTCACATTTTTTATTAGCGTGAGTTTAATGTATTTTTAAATTACCTCCTTTGTCAAAATTAGAAAAGAGTTAAATTAATTTGATTTTTTTTCTACCGTACTGTTATTATCTTATTAAAATGTATCCACTTTTTCTGGGAACCTAAACGAAAATGATATTTGACATTAATCTTTTTAATACGTTTTAGCAGTTTGCGTGTATTTAATATTTTCTTGACGTTATGCGAAAGAGTAAAAACCGTGGCAATTATAAAATAGCTCTACGCCGCTATATAAACAAACCCTACTCTAATACTTATAATAAGACACTGCGGTGCACTGAAAAGCACAGCATGGTGCGAATGTTTACTTTTATGGTTCCAAAATCTATAGCGATGACGGAAGGAAGGACTGACACACTACCAGCAGCGTTATATTATAGATATATATATATATATATTTTTTTTTTACACCCCCCCCCCCAAAAAAAAATAAAGAGACGAATGATAAAAACTGTTCAGCATTGTGTTTATGGATGTATTTGTGCGTGAGTTTATGCATGTGAATAAATATAAAACTAACCACATTGACCTACCTGTGTATACAATCTCCATGCTGTCGCGCTGCACACTGACATTCAGGTGAGAAATTTCTTTCGTTGGGTCAAGATTCACTGGGTCAAAGGTCAGTGTATAATTGCACTGTTTATTTCCTTCTATAAAAAAATTAATGAATTTATTTAATCTATTTACAAAAAAAAGTTGCTATTAAATTATTTAGTGAATAGTTCGTTGTTTTTTGTTACAAAACTGTAATGTATTTGTTTTTAGGCGAATCTAAAGGGCGTGTGGTTGGAGCTTGCTATGTGTTTTATCTCATTTAGTTTACTGTTTTGTGTAGTGTGATCTGTTCTTTCCTTTTCTTATAAACGGGTTTTACCAATGGTTCTTAAAATAACTTAAAGAGCACTGACTTTTTTAATAAACGTAAATTATTGACAAAATGTATGAAATTTTGCTCATTAAAACTCAGGGTAATTTTTGTTTTTAGTTTTTTACAATCCAAAGTGTACGTTTTAGGAAAATGCTGGGAATTATTAATTTATTAAATTTTAAAAATGTCAACTTTATAATAATTATAAATTACCTGGGCAAATAGTAGGTTTATCTGCACTATGGAAATACCGATGTGCAGCCACGGACGTTTGGCTAGGAGCGTACTGGATCTTTATTGCTAGAATTACAAAAAGAAAAACGTTTATTTATTCTTCAGAACGTGCAAAAAACACTCGATGATATAGCACATTTGTAATGATGATCTACCATGAATTTCATTGTGTATGCCTTAGAAGTCGTCTATTTTATCTCCCCCCCCCCCCCCACTTCCCCTTTTTTTTACTTCCTATATCCGCGCAGCGTTTTGCGAAGCGTTTGATCCCTCTTCTAAAATAAAATTTACCACGCGCAATTTGAACCACCCCCCCCCCCCTTTGAAGTAATCTTTATGCGTCGGAAAGTAACATATATTTATAATTGTATCTCTTAAGATGTATAGTACAAACGCTAAGTCACATTTCTTTAACGCCTTCTCTCCTTTCCGCCATAGATGAGATTAACTGAAATCTGAGCAACCCCTTCCACCTCCGATGTCTTTTCCCTTTCAGGTGTGTGACGTCATTTATGGATGTCTCGACAATTAGACATTATAAAATGGCAAGAGGTTTATTTTAGTATTTAATTTTGCAGCCAATAATTAGAAATTATAATTATCGATTTTCTAAAAACAAATTAGAACTGGGTTTAAAATTTACTCACCTTGACTTGCTCTTGCCTGAAAAAAAATTTTAATATTTTTTAATGTCACTAATATTCTAATATAGTTTTTTTAGGTAATAAAAAATGACTTTAAATGGCATTGACAAAAACAGGCGAGGGGGGGGGTGATATTTTTTAAATTATATTTTAAAATCCTTATTTTTTATATAATTGGATTTTATTTTAAACTGGTAGCCTTTTAATTTTGACCTCTATCCATTAAAATAGTTTAAACTGAAGTCTGTTTTATACTGCTATTGTTATTTCAAAACAGCTGCATACAGCTTCAAACGTTTTTGTGACAAATATCTGATTTAGCCCATGTAACTGAACAACATTTCTAACACACCACAAAACAACAACATCACTAGCAACATCATCAACATCACTGCATCATTAAGACCACAGCATCATTAACAGTTTAACACGACATCATAACTAACACCACAAAACAACGTCACCAACACCACAACACCATTAACACCATAACACGACAACATAACTAACACCACAAAACAACATCACTAGCAACATCGCCAACACCATAACATCATTAACATCACAACACGACAACATAACTAGCACCAAAAAACAATAACATCACTAGCAACATCATCAATACCACAACATCATTAACACCACAACACGACAACATAACTAGCACCACAAAACAACATCACTAACAACATCACCAACACCATAACATCATTAACATCACAACACGACAACATAACTAGCACCACAAAACAACATCACTAACAACATCACCAACACAACAACTTCATTAACAGCTCAACGCGACAACATAACTAGCACCACAAAACAACATCACCAACACGCAACATCATTAAAACCACAACACGACAACATAACTAACATCACAAAACAACATCATTAACAACATCACCAACACAACAACTTCATTAACAGCTCAACACAACAACATAACCAGCACCACAAAACAACATCACCAACACCAACACGAAAACATAATTAACACTACAAAACAACAACATCACTAGCAACATCATCAACACCACAACATCATTAACACCACAACACAGTCACAAATGCTTGCCCACGTTTACTGTGTATTAGCGATATGACCGTCGGTCGGAAACTTCTATTGTTTGTGTGGAACTAACTAGCCGAAGTGTTTACATGTCTGACCTGCTCACGATAGATGAGGCGAATAATGCCGCATTGAGAGTGGGTTCGAATCCAGTCTAGCTGTAGACTGCATTTTCTGTTTACCTTTTATACATGACAACATCACTAAAACCACAACACGTCAACATCACCAAAACCACAGCACGACAACATTTACCCACACCACAACAAGACGACAGCGTCACAAACAAAACTACAACACCAATGCTAACGTATTAACATCAAAGCAACATCACTCACGGACTACTAAACACTTACGTTTTCAACTTCTTTGATCAACTCTTGATTGTTGGGAAAACAGACTTTCACAACACCGTCTATGTCTCGTGTTTTGATCTGTGTCTCAAAATTATGCGCACCAAATGCACTCCTTTCAATGCAAACCTCGCGGTCTACTAGAGCAGTCTACGACAGAAGAAAATATAAAGAACACAATGTCGGAGTAATAGATTAGTAGGTGGGGGACAGACATTGCAAAGGAACATAAAATATTATTAAACAACATAGGTAGACAGTTAAGGGACGTCTTGGCCCAGCGATAGAGCGTTCGACTGCTAGCCCAAATACGGGTTCAAGTCAGTAGAATGTCCTGTGTCTGATGGGTACCTAACTCACGTTAGTGAAACAAAGGCGACTGGGCATAGTGCTGACCACGCTATCCCTTCATACGCCGAGGTCTTTGAAGCAGATGAATTCTACTTTATCTGCCCAATGCGTCTTGGGCACGAACGGGAAGTGATGATGATAGATAGACAGTGGTACAGAAACTACATATAGTAACATAAACTATACCAAAACTGTAACTATAACAAATATTGCACGTAGATAAACAACATATACATAACAGTATATAACATTAGATAACCAGCGCTGTGTCTACAGCAAAGACAACTTACGTTTTCTTCATTCCTTTGTATAGAGATAACAATTGTGAAAATCAGAGTGCCAACCGCAAAGAAAATGGAAACAGTTGATAATCCACACGTTGCTTTGATGCATCTAAAATAAAAAGATCACGATCAATACCCAATTTGTTTAGAAATCTAGATGTTTACGGTAATAAGCAGAGCCTTATTATCTTAACATTATTACCCCCTCCCTCCACAACCCTTTAAAAACCTCTAAATGAATTCACAATTATTTTCTTTAAATGTTTCACAATTTGAAGCTAAGAGAAATAAAGCGGGAGAGATCTCCCATAAACTTTCTCGATTATTCTTAAATAACACCAGAGTTTCTTCCAGGCATCTCTTGGGGGGGGGGGGGGGGGGAGGCAGAGCCCCCCGAAAAAAGTCTGCCCCCCATCCCCGAACGAAATGGAATTTATATAGAAAAGATATCTATTTAACAGTGTCCGCCCCCCCCCCCTCCAAACAAATTCTACCGCCCCCCCCTCCCCCCCGAAAATTTTAAGTGCCCCCCCCCCCCCTTTTGGAGAAAAAAGTCCGAAAGAAACACTGAATAACACTACGGGGAATGGCAACTTTTTAAAAATAGAATAGAATCTTGTAGAAAAAAAAGCATTGTTGACCAAGTGAATGGCAAACAAAATGTGTATAATAGTGCGGACTATTATTATTACTACTTTATAAATTCATACGCGATTTTTTTTTTTTTTTTTTTGAGAAATTGGAAATAGTGAAAAGTTCTACTTCCGGTAAACGAAACCTACACGAAATTTGACAGACGGCAGAATTAGATATTTTACTTATATGTGAAATGTCATTTATCTATCAGAAACAATACTCAAGTTACAGGCTTTTGAAAAACCAAAAGTAGAATAAGTCCACTCCCGGTTACCGGAAATCGCTGAAAATTCGAAACAACTACAAATTTGAAGTAATACTTATATATAAAACGTTACTTAAACTATCATGTTCACAGACACACATCCACACAGACACAAGGTAGGCAACCAACTAAAGTAAAGTATGACTACTAACTTGTTGTCTCTCTTTTCTGGATCTCGGTGAAAACACTTGTATAGTGTCCTGAAATAAAACGTAACTTTTATGTTGGCCTACTTGTCATCCGGTGTTTCTTCCAGGTATCTCTTCGGGGGGGGGGGATCTCCCGAGGAGAGTCCACCCCCCCCCCCCCCAAATATTTCAAGTCCCCCGTTTCCCCCCGTGTCCCCCCCCCCCCCCCCCCGAAGAAAAAAGTATGGAAGAAACACTGTTTTCATCAACAATAGAAGTAGATAAAAACTGTCTAGAGAAAATGGATAAAACATTTTTTTTTGTTTTTTGTTTTTTTTTTAATTCTATTAAATGATATTTTTTTTAATAAAGCTAAATAACGTTTGTCATAGGTAGGTCTATATGTTTACTAGAAAAAAGCTATACTACTAGTAGGACAGCAGAATCGATTTCATAAATCGATAAACGTGGTGGTGATTGGTGTAATTTTAAGCCAATGGTTAGAGTTGGGTTCTTGTAATGCTGATCGCAATTATCATATCGTACTAGAGTTACGTTTACCAGAAAAAAAAATGTTTTTAACTGCTTGTTGTTTTTTTGTTTTGTTTTTTTTTTTTCATAAAGAAAAATTGCATCTCCTAAATTGTAATTTAGAAATGGACTTTACATAAATGATTACCATTCACTAATCCGTAATCCTGCTAATAAAGCCTATTCGGAAAAAAATGGGGAGAAGTAGTGGGTGGTTTATCATTTGGTAATATATTAGATCTATATTAGGAAGGGATAGTATTGAGCTGCTATATTACAGTGCTTTAATTTTCTTTATTCTTGTTATTTTTCACATTTCTGTTAGAATGGTTGTGTGAATTGGCCCACAATTGACTTGCACTAGCTTTAACAAAATACAAATCTTTACAATGGTCTCTGGCGGTCATATGTATCATATTCCTGTCTTATATCATAAGTGATTTCCTCATAAGTTCAAAAAATAATGTTCTCAATGGCTATATTTATTGTGTATCTTTTAGTTACTAACTTTAATTAGACCGTATTAAACGACCTTTTCGAAAATACAAATAAAATACCGAAAAATGTTCATCTGTTTTGAAATATTCGAACGTTCTTTGACTGAACACGTATGGAACAGTTCGACCTTCCTTGTAGGACTACCGTATGGATCATGTCGTCTACTTACGTGGGCATTTTGAAGATTTCAATAGAGTTCTTTGTGATGATTTTAGATTTCCTGATTCAAATCCCAAACACGTATGGCCTATAACTAAAGAACAACACAACAGTTGACATTTCAAAATCACAAGCTAAAAATAGTCAGTGCAATCAACAAATCAAATGTAGATCTAGATCTAATAGCCGATTGTGTTTGAGTTTTGACCGTACGATAGCTGTGACAACAAGGTTTATTTTTACTCTCAAGCTGAAAGAAATATAATCTGTGTTTTTCCCGATACATTTTATAACGGTACCGGGAATTTCCTATAAGATACCATTGTTAAGTTTTTTTGGACGAAAAAGCCGTCACGTAAGCAAGGTTTTGAAGGAAAAATGGGTGTTTAAAAATGTTGTTACTGTAGATCTATGTACTCTTTTTAATCAAATATGACGGGCTTTGGGTTTTATAGTCTAAACATTTTTTTTAATGATTAGGCCTATTAAACTTTATTTAGAAATTACTTTAAAGTTGTGTGATTGTTTTATTTATTGAAATGCCATTGTTCCGCGTAGCCTACCCGATCTTAATCCCGATTTTTTAAATGATAAAAGTCAGTAATATTAATAAGCCTTATTTATAGATATCAGCACAAACAGTACAGTGTTTCTGTAGTCTACTTTTGGGCACAAACTAAGATGGGTTAATTCACATTCCTGCGTGGGGGGGGGGGGGGGGGGGGGGGAGTTGGACCTAAATCTATATGACGAATGTATTTTTTAAATTAGTTTTAAAGAATTGTAAATTGCTATAAAAACTGGATCAGTAGTTTCTAAAACTAAAAACAAACAAAAAATTACAATTGGGGTGTCGAGAAGTTTGGAGTTTGAACAGCGTTAACAGTTTCGGGATTTTGTAACATTATAAGACCGGGATTTTGCAGCATTGTGTGACGAAGGAGGGTGGGAGGGGGCTTTTGAAAATATAAAGTAAAGCACAAGTCATACAGATCTTTGATATCCAGATTTAGATCTAGTTCTAAATGCAAACTAACCAAGGTAGCATAATGATTATTTATTAGGCCTATTTAGTAGTAGGTGTGTAGTTCAGAGGCGTATCGAACCCTCTGGGACAATCTTTCAATTTGCCCCCCTCCCCCCATATATATTTTTAGCGCAATTTCCATACTGGCAAAAATTGTGTTTAATAACTCGTCATTTTTATATTCATAATTCAAAATAGAAGCTAAAATTAGCTTACTTTGGCGCCCCTAGGGTCGGCGCCTGGGTACATATGTACCTCCCCGCCCCCCTCCCCTACGTCTCTGGTGTAGTTAGTAGTTATAAATAAAGTAAATAATAGTAGTAATCGTGTAAGTCTAGTCACTCTGGTAATTTAATCAATTAAATTAAAATAGATTGAAACATTCAAATGTGTTTGTGTTAAGGTGTATAGTGCATAGAGTAGATTGTAGTAGATTTAGACTACTAGGCCTAGGCCTAGTAGTAGATCTAGGTATATCGGTAAATTTTGTCTAATTAATTAATTATCACATAAGCCTACTGATAACATTCACATAATAGAATTAGAGGCATGAGGTAGTGACTCTCCCACCCCAATTACAAGTTCAAAAAGGACATTTTTCTAGAATAATAAATGAGCTAGGTCAAGATGTGAACCCACACCCTCCCCGTTGCTACACATCAACACAATAGTCCTAACCCTTGCCCCAAGAATGTGACGTCATTTTGATTTATGGACACCACCACCCCATATTCTACACTCACCTATGTGTAATGTATGTTATCTTAAGAGCCTTTTAGCATAATTTTATATTTCTTTGTTTTCTACAGAAACTGTTTTCAACAAACAGACCTAGATCTACGTCTACAACAACACTGAACAACCCTATACAAAGTGACTGTGCTCAACCACTAGGGAACACATAGATATGGGCTCAATTTTGTCTTACTCACAGTCCAACAGTTTAGGTTAGTAGACCTATGTTATTTGTGATATAAGTAAGTAGTAATTTACTGAAGCATAACTATAGGCTATTTTCAATTTATTAGTAGGGTAATTAAACATTTATATGTAATTTATTTACAAATTCAAACAAAAAGTTGAATAAAATGAAGCAAACACTCAACCACCTATTTTGATTTAGATATTTTATTAAAGACCAACTGAATCACAACACCATTTCATACAGTAGGCCTACATCTTCATTTTGTAATTTATTTTGTACTATTTACATTCTTTTAATGCATATTTTATCAAATTCACATAGCTGCAACAGTCACAATGTGATAAAAAGTAATTAAGCCCACTACTATCATTAAAATCTAGACATGTATTGTGATAAATAGATATTTAACTAATTTCCTCAACATCTTTTAACTTCTATATTATATCTTATTTACAATGTTACATGGCCCATGTTAAAAGTTACACAACTTATTAATTGAGAGTGATACACAACTAATTTCAAACATATAGTTTATTACATATCTTAGCCTAAAGGAATAAAATATTTTCTGCAGTATGAGTATCATAAAATTTACTTTTATGTATGTTTTTAGGGGGAAAATGGGGATACGCTGAGTAGAGCCAAGACAGTCCGATCTTGTCAAGGTGAATTATTCAAATTTGGTTTTAAAATATAAGTATTCGTGCAATTAATTTCTAATTAACAATATAAAGAAAATTTAATTTTTTTTTTTTTTAATTTTACCTTGGCTTAGCAAGTTTTGCAACCCTACAGTACTATTGCAGACCTGACAAGACAGATTAAGTAGAGTTTATCTGTTTGTTGGTGTTTTTTTGTTTAACCTCAGCTAACAAATGGAATGTATGATCATCCCAATGGCTGTCAATTCCCTTTAGTTTCCCCCCAAAACAAATCAGGTACCCATCAGAGCTGGATGGACTCCTCACACAATCTTCATTTTACCCTTACAATACATAATTGTTGATTTTTAGAACAAGCACTAAAGGTTTATGTTTTAAAATGATCATATTGTATTGATTATAATTTCTGAATTAAGGCATCAGACTTTGTTAAGTTTTTTTTTAGGAAACTGAATATAAAATAATTTTGTTATTTAAAAATCCTACAAACATATAATAAGGACTGCTCATTTTTTTAATTATATTACCAGATTGAGATAATTTACTTTTTTTAATGAGATTGCTCTTTCTTTATTAGCTTACTTAACATATAAATGGTCTCCAGTGTTACCATTAGTATGTAGTTTCCTTTTTGCACCTGACAATCCATGGGGCTAGTGAAGTAGAGTTCAACTGTTTCTGTTACCTCGGCATATGCAGGGATAGTGTGGTCAGCACTCTGCCCAGAGGTCTTTACTTTCCCTAACGTCAGTTAAGTACCCATCAGAGCTGGGTGATTTCAGGGATGTCTAATAACTTGAACCCGGATTCAAACTCTAGACTTTTGTGTTAGCAGTCTAGCGCTCTACTGCTAGGCCAAACCATTTGTACCCATTGTATCACTAAATGTCTATACTATTGGTATCACCAATGATTCACTTTCCTGTGGCAGGTACCCATGAGGCTGAAGTTAGTATTGTATCACTAAATGTCTATACTATTGTTATCACCAATTATTCACTTTCCTGTGGCAGGTACCCATGAGGCTAAAGTTAGTATTGTATCACTAAATGTCTATACTATTGGTATCACCAATGATTCACTTTCCTGATGCAGGTACCCATGAGGCTAAAGTTAGTATTGTATCACTAAATGTCTATACTATTGGTATCACCAATTATTCACTATCCTGTGGCAGGTACCCATGAGGCTGAAGTTAGTTTTGGCGATGAGGCTGACCTACACAAGCACAAAACCAACTGTCCCAAAAACCCAGGCCACAAAAACTTCATCCCCATCACAGAATTCCAGCAGTCCCACCTGCCTTACCTGTACCGGACAACCCAGGTTTACGAGCTGGTCAAATCCCTGTCCCAGCTCACTGTCCGAGTAGCCGTCGATTTCACGAGCCAGGAAAGGATAGATTTCTACCCAGATACAACTGATCCATATCCGTTTTCTGAATATAAGGGGTTAAACTTCTTGCGAACTGGCACAGGCAGAGTGATGGAGGCAGTAGTTGTGACAGGAAGTGAAGATGATTCCTGCCCCTGTGGTGAGTGTCGAGATTCTGACACCCCAAGTGGAACTTGGGCAATTTTCCGAGTTCTGACGTCTGCGCATGTTGTGTATGATGACGCAGAAGCGCGACACACGAAATGTAGAATTGACTATCACAACGACACGGATCCAAAAATTACAATCAGCGGCTATAGCTGTTCTTCTGATTTTGAGACAGACAAGTGTACTCTGACTTGTGTATCACATGACTTGAGCTTGGTACAGAAGTTGAAAAAATCCCTCCAGAAATTTGAATCACTTTGTGAAGAGGTGCATGAGAAGTATAATAATTCCAATGGATTTCAGACATTCATCGCAGTAGTATCCCACCCTCACGGCTGCCCCCTGCAAGTCTCCCTGGGAAAACTAACAAACAGGTTTGAATTTGTGGGCGATTACTACACAGCATTTACGTACAACACATCAACATGCCCTGGGAGTAGTGGAGCTCCAGTTTTTATAATGGCCAGGGATGTGGATTGGTGGGCGTGGACATTTTGCCACAGGGGAGGTAACGAGCATGGAAACCACTGTGGTTCAACCTGGGAAGCTTAGGTACCGGCCCCTGTTTTGATGGATACAAGATTTAAGAAGACATTAAGCAGATAGTTCCTTGGTAATAATATAATGGCCAGTGATGTGGATTGTTGGGCGTGGACATTTTGCCACAGGGGAGGTAACGAGCATGGAAACCACTGTGGTTCAACTTGGGAAGCTTAGGTACTGGCCTGTTTTGATGGATACAAGATTTGAGAAGACATTAAGCAGGTAGTTCCTTGGTAAACCTTTGACCCAACTGAACTTGTGTTAGCTGCACCATTGGATACTTTTATTTTTTAGACTGCTGGTAGACTAGTCTGTACATCTACAGTATAATTTAAACCAGCTCTTACCAAAAATGACATGTTTTTAAACCACGATGGATATTGTCTTACTTTAAAAAGGATGGATATTGAAAAAAGTTAAAATAAATATCTGTCTGTTAAATCACATACATGGTTTGCTTTTTTAAAAATTAAATATCTGAGTAGCTGTTTTAACAATATAGATTTTTTAATGTTTAATTTCATACTATGTCATAACTTAAAGCTTGAATTGATTCTATTGTGTATTGAATGAATCAAGATGATTGTCTTCTTTATATTTTGGCCTAGATATGCATTGTACAATTTTTTTTATAAATACTATGGCATTTATTTTTAAAGCTTTTTAAAATCTGTTTGTTATTTACCATACAAAATTATTTTTTATTCCAACATTATTTTGATGTCACCTCATTCACAATAAAAGGAATTGTTATTAAATGTTATTAAATTGTTATTAAATATAACCAGTTATTCTCACATCTAGATATGCATTGTACAACTTCTTTTATGAATAGTATGGCATTTATTTTTAAGCTTTTTTTTTAAATCTGTTTCTTATTTACCATACAGTATTATTTTTTTATTCCAACATTACTTTGATGTCACCTCATTCACAATAAAAGGAATTGTTATTAAATGTTATTAAATTGTTATTAAATATAACCAGTTATTCTCACATCTAGATATGCATTGTACAACTTCTTTTATGAATAGTATGGCATTTATTTTTAAGCTTTTTTTTTTAAATCTGTTTCTTATTTACCATACAGTATTATTTTTTTATTCCAACATTACTTTGATGTCACCTCATTCACAATAAAAGGAATTGTTATTAAATATAATAACCAGTCATTCTCACATCTTGTGTTTGTGGAATATTTTTTAATGATTGGCTCAATCAGTTTCAGTCTTCACTCATTTGGAACAGTAAAACAATAACTGGAAAGACAGACTTTTCTTCAAGTTTGCTAAATACAGACATTGCATACTGAAACTGGAAAAATTTACTTTGTAGTAATAAAAAACTTGATTCTTTATTTTTTATTTTAAAATATTGTCCCTATGTGAATGATAAAAAAATTTGTCTTGCTTAAACTTAAGATATAAAAAAAAACATAATTCAACATGTAAAAAAAAAATATAGTAAAAAAACATTAAACATGTGGAAAGTATTTTTAAAGAATAGACTGGGATGAACATAGTGTAAATATTGTAAACTTAAACAACAGAATATTTATTATGTTACTAAGTGTAATAATTACCCACAAAAAAAAATTATATTCAACATAACACATAGGATCAGTAAAAGTAGAACTGAACAAAAGATGTCAATAGAAAAATTAAATTAAATTGTATTCGAATGGCTGCTTTAGTTTTAACTACATAATTAATTTTGTTTTTTTTTAATAATCATAAACATGGGTCAGCAATAAACGGGGATGGGGGGGGGGCACATTTTAGACCCATAGGTAAACAAATATACTTTCACTTGAAAATTTAAAAAAATCAAACCACAAGCCCAACACTATTCTATTCTAGTGTGTTTGAAGGAAGGGATGGTGTCAGTGTTTCTTTCTTTCAGACTTTTTCTCCGGGGGGGGGGGGGGGGAGGGACACTTGTTAAAGTATGTCTATATAAATTCTATTTCGTTCGGGGGGGGGGGGGGACACTTGTTAAAGTATGTCTATATAAATTCTATTTCGTTCGGGGGGTGGGGGGGGAGGTAGTCGAAGAGATGCCAGAAAGAGACTCTGGATGGTGAGGTCAGCACTATGCCCAGCCAGCAGCCATTGCTTTCCCTAATGTAAGATACCCATTACCGTGTGGGTAACATTTTACAGATTCTTTTTTGGGATCCGAACTCGAGACTTCCATGTTGCGGTCGTGCGTTCTACCAACCACACTGATCAACAGATTATATATAAGTATAATTAGTAAAATACTAAACAATTATTTAAATTATCGTTTCAAACTATAGGTAAGCATTAAATAAAATATGAAACTATATCAGACTCACATTCTTTTGTCACTTTCAAAACTACTTTAAAAACTAATTTACATATCAACTTCGCAACGGTCAACCCGTTTAATTTTAATTGTTTTAAACACGCCTGGTGTAAAATTTGATTGATGTCAGTTTTCAATTCATTGAACCCTAATTGACCTGCTACTTTACTCAACAGGACGCACTGCTGTATCACAGTATTCAAGTTTGTTTCGCGGTTGAGCAAAAGCTGAACGATGTCTGACTGGCCTTTGACTGTGGCGTACATCACCGCTGGACACCCTGCAATGTCCTGCAGATGGACATCGGCGTTGTGTTGCAGTAACAGTTCCACGGTGGTCACATGACCACTGGCCGCAGCAATCATTAAGGCTGTCCGGCCACTTTTATCCCTGTGATTCACGCATGCGCCGTGGTCAACCAAAAGCTTCATAAGTTCCGTTTTTTTCCCGTATACGGCGTAGAACAACGCCGTCTGTCCCTGGTTGTCTGCTCGTTCCGTGTCTGCCCCGTGGGAGAGAAGCAGACGGGTACTGTCCACGTGACCATGAAAAGCCGAGATCATCAACGCAGTGCCACCTAGGGCATTGCCCGTGTTGACGTCAGCGCCGCCTCCTAGCAGTAAAGAAATAATCTCACAACGATTCGCCTGGACTGCATACATCAACGCTGTCCAACCTCGAATTTCTTGCTTATTCACATCCGCCGAATATCTCAATAAAACCTGAACGATCCTTTTATACCCCAAGTGTGATGCATTCATTAACAGAGTAACATTATCATTAGACACTTGGTTCACATTAGCTCCATACTGTAACAACAATTCCACTAAATCAGTATTAGATTCATTAAACAAATAAAACATCGGGGGTTTTCCATTGATGTCCATAAGATTAGGATCAGCCCCGTGTTGTAACAACACCCTCGTCGTCTCCAACCGACCATGTCCGGTAGAGATGGCCAAGGCGGTGGCTCCCATGATGTTGCTCGTGTTTACACCCGCCCCTCTGTCCAACAGCAAGGTCACAATGTCAACCTGACCCTTCTTGGAGGCGAACATCAAAGCTGTCCAGCCTAAATCATCCTTGGAGTTGATCTTCGCTCCTCTGTTGACCAGCACCAGAACCGAATCATACCCGTCGTTATCTGCTGCAATCATCAACGGCGTCGTTCCTTTCTTTGACGCGCAGTTCACATCTGCTCCTTCATCAATCAGATACAAGACTAAGTCCGATTCATTATTAACACACGCATACATTAACGCTGACCATCCTATATCGTTTTGAAAGTTTACATTCGTCCCCGCCTGTATCAGAATATAACCAATGTCAGAACCACCACGGGATAACGCCACCATTAGTGCATTGTTACCTCTATTATCTCGTACATCAACATCAGCCAATCTATCAACCAGCATCTCCACAGCTTCAACGTTACAACTCTCAGCAGCGTACATCAGCGATGACCACCCTTCGACGTTATAAACATCGACGTTCGCCCCAGCGTGAAGCAGCCCGTACATCACAGCCAACCTCCCGAACTTTGTAGCCACCATCAGCGCCGTCACCCCCTGTGTTGTCGTCTCGTTAACCTCAGCCCCACCCTCCACCAGCATCCTCGTAACTCTCGCGTTCCCACATCTCGCCGCCGCCATCAGCAAGCTCCACCCACTTAGTTTAATAAAATCCCTCTCCGCCCCTGCCTCCAACAACAACCTCACAACCCGTTCATGACCGTGCTCTGCCGCAATCATCACCGAATTTAAACCATACACTGTAGCGTAATTCACATCGGCTCCCCATTCCACCAGCACCTCCACGCACCTGACGCTTCCATTTCTCGAAGCAAACATCAACGCCGTCCACTCGTCACGACTCGCTACATCCACACCAGCACCGGCCACCAGCAGCACCTCCAACACCTCAGTGTTGCCTAGTTCAGCAGCCAGCATCAACGCTGTTATTCCCTGTTGTGAGCTGTTCTCAACGGTCCAACCCAGGGCTAACGATTGTCTAACTCGCGTCGGGTCGTTGTAGAGAACAAAGGACATCAAAGGGTTCCATTCTACCCGAGCGAGAAGATCAATTTCAGTATCGCCACTCATGGAAACTTCAGGACTTTTTATTTCCATTTTCACCTGTAGTCAACGTTAATTAAATCAATGAATAAGCTAAGAAGTAGAGATCTACGAATGACAAATAAGTGTATGAATGTTAGGCCTTTATGAAATATAGATCTAGATCTATATTTAATTAAAAATAAGTAGGCCTAGGCTATAATTTTAAAATATTTTATTTTTATGCAATTTTTTTGTAAAATAGTAAAAAGTGTAGAACATTTAAAATTTACCATTGGCTCATTATAAAAATCCCGATTATTTTCCAAAAAAAAAAAAAAGTTTCGAAGAATTGGGAAAAACCCAAAATATTTTTTTAACATGACTAGCCTAGTATAAGTATTTTAATTATTATTATTAGCCTATTTATTTATTTATGTTTGTAAACATAGCGGGAGTGAGGGGGGGGGGGGGGGAATTCCCGAGAGTAAACTTAACTAAAATTTAAACTGTATTTTCAATTTTAAAATACAACATTAACTGCACTTTACTCTTTAAATCACGACATATTTCGCAACATCAAGAAAATAACACTATCACTATTAATTAGTATTAATGCTATAAATAAATACGAAACATCTATTGTTGATAATATGACCCTCTTGCTAAATTGTTC